TGTGTGTGTGTGTGTGTGTGTGTGTGTGTGTGTGTGTGTGTGTGTGTCCTCACTTCTCTCCTCTTTCCCTGCTAGAGAAAATCTTTTAGCTCGTCAGACGCTGGAACAAAACATCGTCCACACCGGAGCGACCGACCTGGATGTAGCCATGTTCCACAGAGACGGAGGTGAACACACAAACACGACCATGGACACAAACGCACACTCCTAACAAGCAGCATTGGCACGTTCTCCATTTCTTCACCCCTGTTTTGCACTTCTTCTTTTTTCTCATCACTCTCTCTTTCCTTATCAATGTAAAAGGTTAAGCTCACATCACAATGGAGAACCTGTCAATGCTATTTTTCCTTCCTCTTTGTTGTTTTCCTCTGTCCCTCCTCTCACTTCTCTCCTTCTTCCCCCAGGTGAGGATTCGGACTCAGACTCAGACCTCTCGATGGAGGAGGAGCACAGTCTCTCCATCCCTTCCTCTGAGAGCGAGGACAACGTCCGACTCCGCGGGCGCATCCAGCGGCGATTCAAACGCTCCAATCACAGCGAGCGTCTGCTCACAGAGCCCACCCACAACGGTACCAAAGGTAGACGAGCACTCAAATGAACAATTCATCTCAATATTTTCAGCTTTTTAAGGCATTTCTTCTCACAGTATTGCCAGAAAAGGCCAGTAATGGTCAAGTGGTCTTGCTCAAGGACGCTTAATTTATTGAGTGAGTAAGGGTTAGGGTTCCAGGGGTTTTTGGTGGAGTATTCCCCCATCTATCATCTCTACCTGCTTAACCTGTGCAGGGTCGTGGGGGCTGGAGTGTATCCAATCTCACTTTCAGAATTCACCATGGACAGGTCGTCAGTCTATTACAGGAATAACACATTTGGACTCACAATCACAGCTTTACTTTCAGTAAGAGGCTCCAGTTAACCAGACCTGCATGTCTTGAGCTCAGTATGGGGTGAACACAGCACGGGAAACCCCTGTCAGTGATATAAATGTCATGCATACACTGTGCTCTGCGAAAGGTTTCACTGGAGAAAAGGCCAGATGTGCAAATCTATAAATCCATACAAGCAGTCAATTCTTAGCTTAATTAGCCACCTGGATCAATGAAACAGAGTAAAACAGGGACCGGAGCAATATGAAGGAATGGAGGAGGACAGGATCCAGATGGCCAGTACAGTCCAATCAATTCGTCAGTGCAGTCAAACTGAAGGCTCGGAGCCTTTTTACTGAAGGTCACAGTTTGAAGATGGCGGCCTATTCGTTGTGACAAAGCGGTAAACCCTTTGATCGATTCAGTTGAGCAGTCGACTGGCCAGTGTGAGAGGACTGTGCAAGGAATGTGTGTAACTGAGTAAGTGCTGAACAACACAGAACAAATTCAATAAATAGATTATTTAAAACGTGTTGCAGAGAATGAAGAACTAAATTCTAATACAATTAGAACAATATGTGGTTTTCAAAGTAAGCACTTAACATTAATGGTGCAACGGCGTCATGTGTTTTGTTTTGTCAAGCAAAAAACATCATTGCAAATATCTCAGGGTTGATCTGAGAAAAGAAACAATGTCAAGATGTCACATTTGGCTTTTCCCTATTCACTTTAATTTAAAATTGAATACATTATTATTTGCAGCCCTAATGATAACATTGTGACAAAATGTGGGTGACCTAACCCTTTGTATTGGGATTTTCCAAATGACACTGATTGGCCTAAAGTGTTACTACTAATATCACAGAACAAACTAATATGTCAAATGGTTGTAAGGGGAAGACAACTGCCTGTTTATACATTAAGATGAATTATGTCTGTTCATAGGTCATTTGCACTAGTGTGATATCTGCTATCTACCAATATGTCATTAGTTATTTCATTATGAACATATGCTAATTGTCTGTTGACACCTGCTATTCGATGCAGACGTCTGTTCTGTGTTTGTTGGGATGCACATGAGGCAACTAAATAAAGCAGAATGCTTGAAATCAGAAAGATGACTATGAGGCATAAGAACATATTGGCAACAATAAAAGTGATTTTGTCCACGTTCCCTTTTTCTTTTCTTAATCACTACTGAGACACGAGCGAGCCTTTTTGTTTTATCAAACGTGATCAATAAAGTCATGACCTGACGTGAGAACACGTATTTGTGTAGTAAGTACTTTTCTGAACAGTAACCTGAAAGCGTTTGTTCTTTCTGTGTGTTACAGATCTGGATGGCAATGACCTTCTGTCCTACTGGCCGGCTTTGGAGGAGTGTGAGACGCACAGCCTTCAGAAGTGGGGCTCAGAGCGCCCCCTGGGGGGCGATTACAGCAAAGACGCTGCCAACAACAACCAGCAGGACGCAGCGCTGACCAGTGGGGACGAGAACGGCCTCACCCAGCCAAACAGGCACCGCAAGGGTGAGAGAAACACAAACACAAACAAGATAAGGGCACACTGACATTTTGGATTTGCTTTCAACTAGGCCTGACCCCATATAGTCGACTATTTCACTCAGGAGCCTGATCCGATTGCCAATAGTCGTAGTGCGAGTAGATGTAATGTAATGAAACAGAGGATTCTTCATCATTTAAAGGTCTATATGTATTTATCAGAGCACTCGCATAAGAATGAAACACTGTCAGAGCCCTAGATATGTTGTATATATGTAGATATGTCTCTAAATTCAGCTGGTGGAGGCGTGTAGACACAGCTGTTTGCGACACATATAACAGCTGTTTGTGGATTCTGTCTCTTTCCCCCGCTGACTGTCCCTTTGCTTTCCTGTTGTTTCCTTTCTGTCTGTGTATTGCTACAATACGGGAAACGGAATTAGGACCAACAGATCATTTACAAAAAGCAGGCAAGATAAAAGACCGTGTCTACCGATGTTCTCTCCGTGTCAGTACTACGGACAGCGTCTTAACGAGACACACACACACACACACACACACATACACATACACACACACACACACACCCTAACCACTACCGCGCTGTCCATTTTTCTGAAACAACAGCTAGCTTACAGAGTAACATGTATCTCTGTATACTATTGTACAATTATGTTGTTGATTTTCTATAGATTCATAAAGCTTAAACCGAGGCGGATCAATGGACGTGTATATTATATATTTTTAATATTCCAGTCTAATATTGATAAACAGACTTGTACCTATAAGAAATTGTGTTTCTGTTTTTGTTTCTCTCTCTCTTTCTTCTTGTTGCTTTAAATATCGACTTGTGCAACAAGTCATATGATCGTTACTTTGCGTCTTTGTCGATTTTTTTTATTTTTTGTCGGGCATCTATGTATTAGTGTCTAGCCTGTATACTACAAATACAGTATATCAACGTCTTCATCATACTGTTTAAAAAGAAATCTTTGACTGATGCAGCCCCTGTCATCAGGATGAAAAAGGGCATTTTGCCAAGAGGAAGATGGAGGAGATGTCAGCTGTGTGAGCTGAGTCAGCAAAGCATAACTTAAAACAAAGCTCATTCACTGACACATGATCTGCTGTATGTGCAGTTTGTTAAGCATTTTAAATGATTCCAGTACATGTTATTCCCTCCGAAATTATTTACCCCCACCACACACTAAAGAGCTGGAGTCAGCTGGAGTCAGCCTGTAGCGTCAGTGTAAATCTGCCCCTAAAAGCATGAGTGGCACTATAATATGTACAGGACAGTGTGTACTGTATACTCAGAATACATACATATAAAATTGGCTTATGCTCGCATACACACAAAGGTGCACCACGCATGCAAAGACACACACTGAGAGTAAGTGAGGAGGAGAAATACAGGCCAATATAAATCACTCATGCTCCCTGAAAGCATGGGTGACATTTTAGTGAACCTATTAATAGACAAAGCACATGAAAACCTATTTTCCTGTCTCAGGTATCCTGAAGAATCGTATCGGCTGTCCCCCGGCACTCCAGGGTCTTTCCACCATGGGCCGCGTCCCCAGTGAGCTCAACTGGTATCGAACCTCTACTCTGGGCCACCGGGGAGTTCCTGCAGCCTCGTATGGTCGCATGTACTCTGCCACGGCTGGTGCCAGTGGAGGCTCCGGCTCTCTCTCTCAACCTGCTTCCCGCTACTCCTCCAGGGAACACCTGGACTCGCTGTCCCGGAGGCAGTTGTCCAGGGATCCACTGGGGAGGCAGACAGTTGGGGGGTCAAGGGACCGACTGGACTCCCGGGGCTCCAGGGACAACCTTGATCTCCTGCCCAGGAGGAGAGAGCTGGGACAGGGGGCAGGGCTAGTGGGACTGGGGCTGGATCACCAGCGAGTCTCATCGTCCAGGGAGAACTTGACAGGATCCAGGGACAGACTGGACAACCACCACGCAGGTAGCGTCCACGCCTCGAGGGAGGACTTGAGTGGAAATGGGGGAGCGGGAATTGAGGGATACCTCAGCGGATCGAGGTCGCAGCTGAACTCGCTGACCCGGCGGCAGGCGTCATCCCGGGAGCACCTAGGGGGGGCGCTGATGAGCAGCAGGTCGAGGGAGCAGCTGGAGACCAACGGGGGCGGAGCCCAGACTCAGCCGTGTCGGGAGTGGCTCCGGACTCTGCCTCCCCGCCAGCCCTCGCACCCCGACCAGCCTCCCTCCTCCTCCCCTCCTCCCCCTATCTCCGAGGAGCCCCAGCAGGAGCACCTCCCAGCTCACGGTAGAGGACGACTGGACTCTGCACCTCCGTGTAGGTACCCCGGTCAGACTGTCCCCCATGTCGCAGGTTCAAATCCAAACTCTCTGGGTCGACAGCCGTCCAGTGAACACCTGGACATTCTGTCCTCCATCCTGGCATCCTTCAGTTCCTCCGTCCTCACTCCTCCCACCGCCGCCTCGAACCCTGGGCCTAATGGCTCCGCCCATGGAACCTCCCCCTCCCCGCCCCAGTCAGCCACCTCCCACAGCATATCTGAAGTCTCCCCCGACTCCGAGTAAGTCCTTCTGTGTTCATAAATCGGCTTCCACTCACCCTCTCCTGTCCCCTTTTTCCATTTTATATCTTGTGCTTCGTCTTCAACTCTCCATTGTCTTTGATCCTGTGTAAACACACTTCTTGGCTTTTACTTTCCTGCACCTCCTCCCTTTTGTCTCCCCCCGACTGATTTCTTCTTCCTCAGCAGCTCCATAGGGATCATGTCCACTCTTCAACTCTTCTTTTCACCTCTCATATTGTTCCTTTCCTGTCTTTCCCATCTCTTTTAGCTCGACTTTACTCAGCTCCCTCTGCTCCATTTCCTACTTTACATGTCTGTTCTGCTCTGTCTCTCTTTGCCCTTTTGCCTCTAACAGTTCATTTCCATTCTGCTCCTGTATGTTGTCATCATTATGTGTAAGTAAAATTACAATCAGTATTGAAACCTATCGATGACTCATTTTCCTTTCCTTCACCTCAGAGCCAACAGAAGTGAAGGACAGTCTTGATGACAGCCTCCATATCCCTTTATGCATTGAAAAAACCAGGGACAAGTTCAAAGGTCATGGATGGTCCTGAACCACTGGGGCACACTGGGACTTCTGAAGCCTAGAAACAAACTTGGGTGAGAGGAGACACAGAGTTGGAGCGTCCATGCGGATAAAAGAGGGCTCGTGGTCAGTTTGTACTGTATAAATGACATTTTGTTCAAGTCCCACTGCCTACAATGATCTTTGACTTTTCTTTGAACCACCTCTACTACCTAAAAACTGTTCAAGACAAACACAAACTCCTCAGATTTCAAAGTCAAGGCAACTTGATTCAGTCTAAAAGAAGAAGGAAAAAAAGAAGAAAAGACTGTAAATAACATTTTTATACATTTTGTATCTTTTTCATTGGAGATGAAGAAGAAATCTTTTGTGACGTTTTCTTTTTTGTTGGTTTTTTTAAACGATTGTGTCCGTGTGAGGTTGTGAGTGAGGTTGGTGCGAGTGGAGTCTTGTTCGTCGGCGAGGGAGACATTTCCTCCTACAAAGAAAAAAAAAATCCCCAAATTTCTCCTCGAAAGCAAGTTTTCCTCAGAAACTTTTCCTCACACTCATCAACTCTGTGTATAGCGACGACAGGGGTCCGGCAATAGTATCTGATGAGATTATTAAAACATGTGGTTTAAAAAGGGAAAAAATATCAAAGTAGCAAGAAGTGATTGTAAATAGAGGGAGCGGTTATTATAGGAGAGGAGATATGATAGGAAGATGATTGTGAAGAGAAAGATGGGCCGACATTAAGCTAAAGCACCACATGAAGGCTCAGAGTCGGTGGTTCCACCATTAAAGTATCAGCTCTTTCAGGAGATTGTGCTGTTTTGTGATCCACTGTATGTGAATGTGACCTTGTCCTCCGTCCGTGTATCTTTGTGCCTGGTGCTGTCTGAACCAGACCATATCAATCGACTGATATTCCGGAGATCCGGCGGGTGAAGGTAGATATCTGCTTCTCTGTATGAGGCTTTATCGTGTAACAACCATTGAAAGACCCTCAAGGTGTTTTTGCTCTTTGATGCATCACGACTCGACCTGCCTCAAGATACGCCACGGGGAGCATCCAGGAGACTCAAGTATAAAAGCTTCTCATGCAGAAGTTCTGTGCAAAATCCAAGCCAAAGGGACGACTGCCTAAAAATCAGTACCATACGTCGCTCCAGTTTTTTTTGTTTTTTTTTTGTGTGTGATGAAAATGACTTGTGCAGGCTGTGAACGCTCCAGATGTAATTCACACTTTTGTTTTAATCGTGATTAGTATTATTTGTATTCATGATTGTGCCATGGAAACGGTTATTAATGAGGCCCGAGAGATCATCGCTACAACATAACCCACTGTGGTTCTCGGTCCGTTTGGCTGCATACTGTATCAGCGAGGGGGAATTTAGTTTGGCACGTAGAAGGAGAGCGGATCAGAGCGAGGACGGTATGAGTCACGTCCCGGTGTGCGCTCAGATATTTATTCGAAGACCTGAAAGCAGACCTGCCGTACACATCCAGCCTGGTATATCTACCAGAATATATCAGCTCACGTCTGTAGCACATGAAGCCCATGCCAGATATTTTCTTTTAAATTGCTTGGCTGAACACAGATGCTGGGGAATGACTTCAGAATTTCGTCTGTACGTGAGAAATGTCCTGACTTTGCTGATGGGCTCCAAAACATCCAGCACGAGCTGTCATTGATGAAGAGGTTCACACCAGAACACATTAATACAGATTGCTGTAGGAAGATCAGGTCTCTTGCCAGATCCGGGCGTATAGCTTCTGTGGCACCGCACCAGTTTGGTGTGGAGAGATGTCAGTTTTGTCAGCGCTAAAAGCCTCTAAGTGGGTTTTAAGATGCAGCTCTTTCCATCAGCGACGTCTCCCTCCTCACTGCTGTTGGAACGAGCGCTGATGTCAGGCCTTGAGGTAACAACACACAGGCATTTGTAAGCAATGGAGACAGGAAGGCAGTCCCCAGCAGCCTGCAGAGGGAGTAGGGGATTGTGGCTAACTTGACTGTGTTTTTGTAATGAAAAAAAAGGGAAGCGGTTCATAAATAACTGAAGGTAAAATGAGGTTTCTGTCATGCCAAAATGAGTTTGTCTGCATGCCCTCGAGCAGAGAGCACTGTGACGTTCAAACAACACTGGAACAGCAAGACGGTAAGAGGATAAAACAGCGAGAAGGCTGAAAGAGCACAATGGGCATAAGAATAAATCATTAGGTACAAACTTAGACTAGATTGGAACAAATTGAGTCAGAAACTGTGACTGTGTGCAAGATGTACCTACAGGGAGGAGGGCGTTGAAACATAGAAATGCAGAAAGTAGGAATAAAAACACACACACACCTCACAAATGCACATCTCCCTGTTGTGACTGCTGCTCCGTCATCCCCATGTCTCTTGGGAAGTGACAAGTCAACCTATTATTACAGTAGTTTTGCCAAAAAATGCCCCTGCAGGGAACACTGCCCACTATTTCTCCTCACTCTTTTCGTTCAGCTGCTCCATTTACTTTTTTCTCCATTTGCTCTTCACAGATCCATTCGTTATCTTCACCTGACAGTACCTTTAACTTGTACAGACATGAGATTTATTTTATTTATCGATAATTTATTGACATTGTATTGATTATTTATATTGCCATTTTGTATGATTTCTTTTGTTGGGTCAGAATGTTCCCTTTTGTCTGTTTCTTATGATCTGAGTCTCTCACTGCAACAGATTCACAGATGAAGGACAAGAGGAGATGAGAATGTGAAGATGGAAATGTGACGCAGGATGCTTTTCATTTTGGTTTCTTTATTCAATCATAGGGTTAAAATCTGGAACAATTTGACAAAACGTGAATTTCAATCCTATTTAGGTGCTTTTTTTTCCCCTCCCCAGACAGAATGTCAACATATCTAAACTAAAGGTTCAATACTGGGTGTAAATAGTGCAGATATGTCCCAAATCAAACCCTTTTCTTCCCTGTTCATCATTATAGATCCAAGGCTGAAGCTTCACGGGCACAAAATCAGATCATTAACTGGTGACGTCTAAACGCAGTCAGACGTCAGTGAAACTCCAGCTTCAGGTTAATCTGGTCCAGACCAACAGGAGGAGACAAAAAGACTGAGTTGAGACTACATTGTGATGTGCTCTAAAAAAAAAGACAAAAAATTGGCGAAGTGACGGAAGGAAAGAAACAGAGTGAGATAGAGTCGGGCGGAGGAAGAGGAGGGATGGGAGATTGTCTTTGTTAGCTTGTTTGTTCATTATGGGATGCCTTCCATCCCGCCGTCGGGCATGGAAACAGCTGTTCCCGTTATCGCGGAAACAAGAGAAATGTTGGACATTAAAAAAAAGAACTTATTCCTACTCGACTGTGTTTATATTTATTCTGTGTGTGTGTGTGTGTGTGAGTGAGTGAGGCTCTTCTCTCTCCGACTTGTTTTGACTCTCAAAGTTTCACATTCAGAGGCGTTGGAGAAGTTCAGCTGACACTTTGATTCCCAGCAAAAAACAGAATCACTCAGCTGAGACTGAATATAAGCAGCCCCCGAAATTTACTTTCATTTAGACCTGCAGGGGCTGAACAATAAATCAGTGCTCCTGTTAAATTACCGTAACTTATAACAATTTGTAAAATACAAAATAAATGCTTGCTTTAACACATACAGATGGATGACGAGGGGATATTTTGTTTATTTACTTTTATGCAGAGATTTAGACGACAATATCTAAACCACTCGTCTCTGCATTGAAGCCAGGAGGCAATTAGCTTAGCTTAGCATAACTACTGGAGGCAGGGGGAAACAGCTAGCCTGCCTCTGCCCAAAGTTTAAAAAAAATATGCCCACTGGCAACCTTTAACGCTCAGAAACTGCTCCAGCACATTACTATATGCACATAGCAGTTAATGCTCTTGTGGCTCAATGGGATCTGCTGCCAAGTCCCAAAATCAGCAGAGGCTGTAATAGCAGCGTAATAATGCACGTGGTCCACAAACTGTCCTCTTGGCCATGCAGCATATGTTTCTCCACTCATGTATTCTTTTTTTCTTCCCTCTTTAATTTGTCACCCGTCTGTAGTCGACTCCTACTTTGAGCCGAATACAAATTTACTTATAAAGCAAAGACTAAAGTTTAAGCGTACACACTCATGTTAACATGCAAAAAGAAGCTATGCAGGTAAAATCATGATAAAAGATTGTCCATTTTGGAATTTCATTTAATTTCTACATCTGCAGTGATTAGATGTAATCTCAATACATTCTTTAAAATGAAGTACGTCCTCCCTAGAATAAGGCTTTACAGACACCGTCAACCTTAAAAACCAATGAACATCTCATTTTGAATACTGAAGACACTGATGAATGACAGATAAAACAAAACAGGTATATTGTGATTTTATAGGTCTATTAGTACCACATCTGAAATGAAGTGTTGTCCTTAACTCGTTTGGTTTAATTAAACCTTACTTGGACAGAGAAGGTGATGGTTGCGTTGCAGAGGGATCGTTTGGTAGTTTGACCATTTTAAATAATGTAACTCTTCTTCTAGTCTGCAACCCAAGTAATGTCACTTGTGCTTTCAGCAACAACCAAACCAGAGAAGTAAACTTCCCTCTTTGTGTGAGAACAGCTGATTTAAAGCGACTTACAATCCTCCTTTTGCATTAAAATACAAGACGATGTATAAAAATATCATGGCGTATCGACAAGAGAATACAAGAACTAATAAAAATGCGACAATGGGAGCAGTTCATCCCGACGGTCCGTACGTTTTCGCCTCTTCGTCGCTGCTGCTGGAGGACGACGGCGGCACGTCCTCGCCCATCCTCTTTAGCTTGGCTTTGTAGTAGGACTTCTTCATCCTGAAGGCCTTCTCCTTCTGCCGCGCCGCTCTCCTTTTCTCCCTCACCAGCTCCTGCTCCCACGCCAGCACCTTCATCCTGTTCTCCCACTCCAGGATCTTCATCTGCTGCTGCTGCTCCAGAGCGTCCGCCCTCTGCTGGTGCTCCTGTCGCGACAGGTCCGCGTGGTCCTGGTGCCGAGGCGAGCGGCGGGTCGCTCCCTCCGCCTCGCCGCCCGTCGGGTGCAGACGTTGGCTGATGACCTGGGAGGTGCCTGCGGGGGGGAGAAAAAAAAAAAAAAAAAAAAAAAAAAAAAAAGTGGTCAGTGAAGTGAACCCTGTTTTCCTGAGAGCCATCGGTCCGATACCTATTACTAAATGCAGTTAGCCGTTTCCAAACAATACACCGCTGGTATCACATAGGGTGTTTTAAACCATGGGGAACTTCCTCAGGGGACCAAGAACCTTTTGAGGAGCACAGAATCTAAAGCGGTGTTTCCACAGGAGGAACCGGGGACTAACTTTAGTTCATCAAATGCCAGAAAGAAAAAAAAAATAATTATATATATATACACATATATATACACACATATACACACATATCTCCTTCCTCCTCATCAATAGTAACCTATAACACCATTCCAGCTAAAGGTCATCATTCAGTGCTGTTTATATGACAGTTCCTTAATTCCTGGAATATCTCACATACACATATGCATTCAAAAGGTCACCAGCATTTTCCAACAGAAAGTTCACTGAGCAACTGTCTCCAGGCAACTAATAGTGTGGCAGCTCGCAGAGCTTTATCGACCTGGGGCCGTCGAGTAGGCAGCAGGAAATGTCAAATCCTGGAGCTCTGCATTGTGGGAGGTGGAGTTCGCAGTGGGGCTGTGGGGCAGATTGGACCAGTCGCTGCCCGTTATTCTGTCCAAGGTGTCCCGCTGGAGGCAGAGGGCCACTTGCTCCTTGCTGTCCTCGGTCTGAGGCAGGGAGAGAACAAAGTGTGCTTTTAGTCGGTGGTTCCCAAACTCTTTAAGGTCCAGGACCCCTTGAATTAAACAAGTCCACGGACCCCCATTGGATACGATTTTGTCCCAGGATCTCCATAGGAATTTAGCTTCTAGATGTTTTGTCACAGAAAGCATATAAAACCCATGACCAAAACAGTCTGAGATTCTGTCATTGTGTTACTTATGAATGTAATATAGTGAAAATAAATGATTACCCTTTTTCCTGGGAACCTCCTCAAGGACCCCCACATTTTCATTTCTAGCATGAATGTTATTGTAGTCACTGCTCCAGGTTTATTTGAGTGTTGTTCTTTGGTTTAAATTCTCTAAAATAAATGTTAACCAAAACGACCATTTAAATAATATTTACCCGCTTCACGCTGCCGTTCGTCTGCCCAGCAGCATTAATCAGCATCACGTCGTCTGCTAATATGAGAAAAGGACAGAAAGACAGACAGACAGGGAGGAGCTGCAGGTTAATGTACTTCAGGAAAATAGGCAGAGAGCGCCTCCCTCTGGTGAAGGCAGGTACAACAAACATCACCTTCACACAAAAAGGTATCCAAAGCACTTTACGTTGCAGCATCATGACTGCTCATGTTGTTTTTTTAGTATGGATAGTAAGTAATGAAGCATGATGGGAAATGGACAGACATGAATCTATTTTGGGATTTGAATCTTCACTTAATAAAAAAAGTCAAAAAAGTCAGCCTCAAATTTACTGTCAGTTTCAGGGTGAGTGCTGTAATGCCAATTTCTAACGCGATAACATTTGAACATTAAATTTTTGGATTATTACAAATCAGTTGTAAATTACAACTGATTTAATAATCCAAGAATTAAACTTGAGAGTGTTCCAACTCTCAAAGCAGCGAGGATCCACCTCACTGACGTCTCCTTAAACAGAATTATTTAATCTCTACAAAAACAACAAAACTAAATCAGTGCGGCGGTTTTGCATTCTGATCTCACTCTAGCCCTAAACCTTAGTTGTTTCCTGTGAAGATGGAAGTTTATTTTGAAAAGACAGTATGCATGTAACAAGCGAAAACAGACTCATGTTGCTGGACTTTTACAGGAAAAACGCACGAAAAGTGAGGAGTAATATTTCGTAAGATATCAATAAAACGGGGATGAATTTATATCATTGTATAAAGAGAGTGACATGAGAAGATCAATCTCATGTCTGTAAGTTAAATCAGCTATAATCACTATTTTAAAGTGATTAGTGACTCGTCTAAAATATTTAAAAAAGGAATAACTTCAATAGAATCATTCTATACACTGTAGCTTCTTTACATTCTATTAGAATATAAAGAAGTTACATTCTGATACAATGTAACTTCTTTACATTCTATTAGAATGTAAAGAAGTTACAGTGTTGCCTTTTCTTTTCTTCCCACAAGAACGTAATTTTGTCAGGTTGATAAAAAAATGTCACTTTACTTCCTGACATTATTGTTACTTTAGAGTCTAGAGACTCACACTAGATGGTTAGAGACACAATTAGGAACGCTACATTTTCTGTGAGACGTCCAGAAAGTACACAAAGAAGACCTAAACTACAGTTTGTAAAAGATGGAAAAGTCTGGATTTATTTCACAAATGAACATGAAATAGCCCAAAAATACTTTTGGAATTAGAAACAAAAAGAGGAGCAACACATTTGTTAATTTATGATAATGGAAAGGCAGATTTGTATTTATTTTAAAAAAAACTACAAAAACTGCTGGCAGTCTTAAGACCCAAACTTCATAGCTAGTACATCTAGCTATGAAGTTTGGGTCTTAAATGGTCGAGGTCTGAGAAAATGTGTTTTTGCAGTTTGGAAAACTTTATATGCCCCAAATTGGGCACTGAACCTATAACCTACTGTACTGGGTTTTATTGTATGCCTCAATACCTGAACTGTACAACTGGAAAGAAAACGTAAGTAAATGTTACACCAGAATTGAATTCATACATCCTTTTCTTTCCACAATAATGATATTTAATAGGTCTATGATAAATTTCACTAAATAAAAATACTTTAATTACATCACAACTAGAGCTGCAAAGATGAACTGACTAGTTGTCAACTATTAAATGAATAGCTAACTATTTTCATAATTGGTTTGAGTTAAGTCAAACATTCTGTGATCCCAGCTACTTCAATGTTTCTTTACTCCTCTGTGACACTAAACTGAATAACTAAAGGATGTCATCTTGGGCTTCGGGAAACACTGATCGACACTTTCAACATTTTATAGACTAAACAACTAATTAATTAATTAATTAATTAACAGAGAAAACAATTAACAATACTCAACAATAAAAATAATCGTTAGTCCCAGCGCCAATCACAACTACTATAATTACTACTGTTATAAAGCAGTGCTCTGCTGCTGATGAACCTGTTGTTCTCCACGATGGAGCACTTGCTCAAGGACACTTCAGCAGGCTGCAGATGTTCAACTACAGCAGCTCCTCATCTCCCTGCAGACCAGTGTTGACTATTGTGTTTGCAAAGCTCTTAATGGTCCAGCCTACAATTTATAAGGAAGTTTATGAAAACCATGCGAGATTATGACGGATTACAACTCCTGGAACTAATCTATGTCTCTCTGCTTTACACAAGTTTTAAAAGAGTCCATGACCCGAGGGTAAAGCTGTGGTTGATGACCTGGTACAGATGGTTCTACACAGGACGTGGACACTGTCAAATACACACTCCCACCACCACCACCAACACCACCACCACCACCACCAACAACAACAACAACAACAACAACACTGCAACACCACAACCCGCCATTAAACCACGTGAACAAACAGTGATCGGTAACTATCGCAAACGGTTTCCCCGTTTCCTTAATTGAAGCTCAGATACCTTCCCTCAGCTTGCGGACCGCCGCTTTGTGGCCAGCTCCCCCTGCGTGGCTGGTGAGAGCAGCCTCGCCCATCGTCTGAAGTTTGATGGATTTACAACACGCCCTGCATCGGGCGAAGTGAATGTCCTGGAGTTCCTTCACCAGCCAGTCCTTGTAAATCACCTTTGAGAGCCAGGAGTCCTGGAATTTACATTTCCCAGGCATGGCTAGCAGTGAAGTTAGCTGCACCGCTACCTTTCGGCTGCTGGAGGGCGAAGCCTCTTCTACTGTCTCCTGGTGCGTTCACGGGCTACTCGGAATAGTCATGGAATGTTTGCATCATTGCGCATGTTAATTGAAACGTCTCTATGTATTGACACAAAGATAGCCCAAATCTGTATTTATACTACATATGACTGCATATGATATTCCCATGACTTTCTAAGATGACTGACAGTATCACAAAGAAAGTGCAGAAACAGCACAATTGTGTCTGTTGGTTTGGTGAAGCAAAAAATAAAAATCTTAAGTATTTATTTGTGTCTATAAGTGTCAATGAAAGTTAAAGAAAGGAACAAATAAAGCTTGAATAAATAGCCTATCAGTCATTTTTTTAAAGCTGAAAAATACCTTTGACAACATAGTTTTCCAAAAAACACCTAAAGGCGGCACAACTCGACGGTGGTCGGTCACATGGGTCGCTTTCTCCAATACAAATACGGCTAACCTTTTTTCTAACCAATCAGCGCTCAGGAAGCCGGCAGTGCACCCTGATTGGTTTAGACGTGGCACGGAAGACAGCACAGGAACACATGGGTACTAGGACCGTGGACGCTAATACAGATGTTTTAATGCATATTTGAGGCACATTTATTTTGCGTTTGAGGCTTTTTGTAAGTGAACTATATAGTGGCATAGGGGGGGAGAAAAGCTGCATTTCTTGATTCGTACACATCAAATAACATAAGGAGGGCTCTTGCTGTTAGCTTGTTTTGCTAACTGGAAGGCTAATGGTGACTCAATGTAGACTTCTTTTTTTTTTAAGTATGCGTTGTCACTTTATATGTTTCAGACACCATTGATAATGTGTCTCCAATAAAAGCTATTCATCATAAAAGTATGGAGACAGCTGCCCTTGTGGCTCCAGTCACAGCTCTGGAGTTCCTTCTGGATGCTTTTCTACTGACGGGTAAGAAGCAGTTTCTAGAGTCAATATTGACGTGATATTTCTAGTTATGCAGAAATAGGGATTTGAAATGACAAACAAAAATCACAGATTGATGATGCATTATTATAACTATGCATTTTTTACCTACTTTTACTACAAATGCATGGGGAGAACAGGTTTAAATGTGGTCATATATTTGATAATATATATGTTTGCTTATTTTGAAAGAGGACTGAACACTGTGAAGGATCACACAACACGCATAACACAATCTTCTCTTACCCTGTCCTGACAGGTGAAGGTCCAGTCTTGACGGTGTTCAGTCTCTATCCTCACCCTAAAGCCTGTGCCTCACTGAGTGTGCTCCAACACTACAGAATCCATGGGATACGGCCTACAAGTGTAGAGGCTGTCCCAGCACAGAGATCTGCTACAGGAGCACATGGGAGGAAGAGAGACGGTTAGCACACGCAGATGTTTGTTTTCACTCTTCTCTATGATAATTCCTTCTGTTGTGTTCTGGGAGATATATAAAAACAGATGATATGGGTGAAATCAGATGACCGGGTAAGTCTTAATTTGGTGGTGATCTGCAGGATTGAATAACTGTCCAGTGTTGGTAAAGAGTTTGCACTCACTGACAGCCCTCTAGTTATTTTTTTTTACTGATGTTTTTTCTGATTTGTCAATCCCCAGAACTGAGCTCCACGTCGGAGCCCAAGTTCTACGATCTAGCGGTGTTTGGAGGCAAGGCTGTGAGGCTGGTGAGGCTCCATGTGGATCTCCGGGCTGGGGAGCATCTACGCTTGGAGATTCTGGGCCCCCTCATGGAGCTACAGGACTGGGCCCTGGATGTCCGTTGGCTCTCTGGAGACAACCGCTCACTGCTCTGTGTGGCTGTAAGTCACAATAGTGCTCTTCTCCTGGACATCGTTACAGGAAATGTCCTGTTTCAGCGCTCCTGTCTGGAGGGATGTCTGCTGTACTCTGCCCTCCTTCTGGTACACGAATCCTGGGCGGATACCATCTTAGTAGGAGGGACTGTTTTCAACCAACTGGTTCTCTGGAAGCCCGGGGGAGGTGGAGACAAAAGTGTTGATTCCGAGCACAAAGCTCCAGTTGAGAGACGTCTGCTGGGCCACAGCGGGGTCATCTTCAGCATCTCCTACCTCCAGGAGAAAGGATGGCTGGCTTCAGCCTCCGATGACCGCAGTGTAAGGGTCTGGGGTGTTGGTGCTTTAGGGGGCCCTGAGGGGAAATGTGGAGACTTGAACCCGGCTTGTTTAAGGGTCCTATACGGACACCAGGCGAGGGTTTTCTCGGTGCGTCTCTCCGGGGGGAATGTGTTCAGCGCTGGTGAAGACGGCGCCTGTTTAGTCTGGGACTGGGCTGGAGGTGGCAAGGTGATACGGACGTTAAAAGGACACCGAGCAGGGGGGGTTCGTGCACTCGCAGTCAGTGAGGGAGCAGGAGATGAAGAGAGATGGGTGGCTACAGGGGGGGCAGATGGAGGGGTGAGGTTGTGGAGGGTGAAAGGGAGTGAGGAAGGGGAGGAGAAAAAAATGGAGGACGCAGTGACTGAGAAGCTAACTGACCTGAAGTTTCCCGGCCACGGCTTGCCGAAAGCTGTTTGTATGGTGGGGGAAGAGGATAAATATGCAAGTTGGAGTCAGAGTAAGTTTGTTGTCTGCACTGACCAGGGAACAGTTTACCAGTACAGCGCCGGGCAGTGGGAGATGGTGTGGCAAGGGGCTCCTGAGTTTCAATCCTATTGTGTGATGGAAACAATAACTGTCTGTGTGAAGGACTCAACAGCAAAAGTAAATTTGTGTGCTGTGGGAAACCTCAGCGGATCCATACAGGTCTTCCTCATCTCTCATCCTCAGCATGGGTTTCTTCTCACAGGTGGAAGATCCACAGGGAAGATCCACAGTCTCATTTGGCAAGAGGCAAACAACCGCATTTATTTGCTAGCATCAGGCTCTGGAGGACTGGTCCATCGCTGGTTTATAGAGGTAGAATCGGATGAAAACTCCTCCTTGGCTCTCAGTGTAAATCCCCTTCCTTCTTTCCTTCTTCCCCCCTGCGCCAAACGCTGGCTGACAGCCGCAGTGCGCCTCCATTCCACGACTCAGGGGTTGCTGTGGGCGTGTGGGGACAGGAGAGGCTCCCTGCTTCTGTTTCAGGAGGGAGGAACGCAGGAGCAAAAGATGGGAGATGACAAAAGAATGGATGAAGGCTGGCTGACGGGCAGGAAACAAACGGGTGGTGAAGGGGGTGAGGAGAGAGAAAGAAAAGAAGTGGGTGACCTAGTGCTGCACCCGTTGAGCTGCCTGTTCGGGGTGCACGGAAAACAGGGTGTAACCTCAGTGTGTGAATACCAGGGACTGCTCTACAGCACTGGCAGGGACGGCTGCGTGAGGGTCTTCAGAGTGCATCTAGTGGCGCCAGAAAAGCTTGAAGGAAAGGCTGCAGAGAACAAAGGGGGGCTTCAGCTGGAGGTTCTCCGAGTCCAGCGGGCCTGCAAGGGTATGGAGTGGCTGGAGAGGGTTTTGATTCTTGAATCTGACAATCCAGCAGAGGAGGAGGAGGAAGGCGACGAAGAGCTCGGAGAGGAATGTGAGAACCACTCCACGACAAAGAAACAGAATGTGACAGGAAAGCTGGAGGTTACAGAGGGGAGAGAAGAGAAGGGGAGCTTGAGAGGAGGAGAAGAAAAGACAGAGAACAAGGGAAGAGAAGCCAGGTTCGCCATTATCGGCTTCCATGCTGTCCACTTTGTGGTTTGGGACCCGGTGAGGCAGGAGAGGCTGTTAGCGGTGCCCTGCGGTGGGGGGCATCGCTCTTGGCGTCTCTGGCCGTCCCACGGAGGAGTTTGGCCCGGATATGGAGCTCTGGTCTTCATCAAGCAGGGGGCCGTCATGGCTTCGCAACCCCCTGGAGAGGCCTCGAGCTGGGCCGGGATGGTAGGAAGGACTGGAGGATGGGGCCTGAGAGAGGGCGTCCACGGGAGGGGGATCGGGTGTGTGTGCAGGCTGGGGACGATAAGGGGGATTGGGAATAAGATGCAAACAAACAGTACTGGAGATTGGACGAAAACTGAGGGAGGAGATGACGTAAAGGAGGTGGAGAGAGAGGAAGAGCTTTGGGAGATAGTGGCGACGGGAGGAGAGGACACTAGCTTAACCGTCCTAGCGGTACGTCCCGACTCTGGCCGCATCAAAGTTCTCTCAGTCATTACCGACCACATCTCCAGCGTTCGGACGGTGACGGCAGTGACGCGTCCAGAGGCAGGGAGGGAGAAGCAGACTCTCTCCGCCCTGCTCGTGTCGGCCGGCGGGCGAGCTCAGATGCAGTGTTACCGGCTGCTGGTCGGCTGGGACAGGCAGAGACTGGTTCCCTCCTGCCAGGTGATCCAGGTGGCCAGTCACCGATTGGACGAACAGTGGGAGAGGAGGCGGAACCGGCACAAGATGGTGAAAATGGACCCAGAAACAAGGCAAGTTAATGGTTGTTTTCTGCACACATGGGAAGGGAATTTCAGCTGTAAAGAGAAACATTTTTTTCCAGGCACTTTGAAGTGCTTTTTTTTTTTCTCACCTTCCTGTCTTTTGTCTTCACTCCCTTCTTCATCAAGAAAAGTTCTGAAGTCTGTACATTAACAATCAGCAACTGTACATACTGTTGTCCTTGAAACCTACTTCTGATCTGTTCTTACCAGTTGTGTCTGTGTGTTTTCAGGTACATGTCTGTCGTGGTGCTGGATGAGAAGACAGACTGTTGTCTTCTGGCTTTGGCCGGCAGCGATGGAGCTCTCAGGTTGGTGTTCATCACAGAATAATTATTAATAATTATTCTTTCCAAGGAGCCGGAGAAAAACAGTTTACAAACAGAATGTCTTTAAACTGTTACTCTTAAATAAGTATTTTCCTCAGTAAAGTGGTAGTAACTGAATGTAAGAGAAAATGTGTTTGTGTTTGCTCAACATTAAAAGCTCTCGTTGTGTCACTTAATTTGATTTTAAAATCCACAATTTGTCTGATAATGCTGCCCTCTCTCTCTCGCTCTCTCTCTCCTTTTTTCTTTCTTCTCGTCTCTATTACTTTCTTTTCCAGGTTGTTCTCAGTCAGTGAAGTCAAACATCAAATTGATTTGTTGTGGGAGACGTTTTACCACCAGCGCTGTGTTCTCAGTGTCGCCGCCTGCAGTCTGGAGGACAGGAAAGGCAACAGGTCAGTGAGCCGATGTTTGCTGATGTTTTTTTAATTTTCTGAAAGTTGGCACCTTCTTAACAAGTCATTGGTAGTCTGGCATCGTAGGAACCCATCAGAACCAGACCTTTGATTGTTTTTTTATTATATATATAATATTTATCCTGCCATTTAAGAAAAGAGTAATGACTGACAGATTTAATATAGGAATAGAATATTAAGAGCTCAGTGAATTTAGGTTCACTTTGACTTTTTGATGACCTTTGACTTCTTGTTGTGGGATGATATGAAGAAAGCCGTCTCTCATGTACATGTTTGTGTCCGTCTCAGGTATAAGCTGCTGTTCAGTGCTGCAACAGATGGCAAAATTGCAGTGTGGGATTTAACTGATGCTTCGAGCCATAGTCCAACTCCACCAATCCCCTGCCTCGATATTCACGCCCACCAGAGCGGCGTCAACTCATTGGCTGTTTGGGCAGAGGAACTTGGCCATCAAGAGGGCGGTTGCCTGGTTACTGTTGCTAGCGGAGGGGATGATGGGCAGCTGACAGTGTCCGTGATTAAAGTGCAGTACCCGGAGGACGGAAAGGTTGGGGGCAGCAGAGGGATTTCTCAGATTTCTGAGCCCCGGCTTTCTCCACAAACACAGTTCCAATCTCCAAACCAGCTTCATCTTCACCTCTACTCCCAGTCCCACATCCCGTTGGCTCACGCTGCCCCTCTGACCGCCCTGAAGCTCCTGAGCCCGGACCTTGTGGTGTCCACCTCTTCAGATCAGAGGGTTTGCCTGTGGAGGGTCAGCAGTACCAACATCCGCCACATTGGGGCGCTGTGCTGCCATGTTGCCGATGCTGCAGGACTCGCTGTGTGGGAGGGGAAGATGACTGAGGAGGAGGAGGGAGATAAAAATAAGAAAACAAGGTTTGAGTCTGAGCAGGAGATTGCAATTTGGAGAGGGAGTCAGACAGGATTAAAAGCGACGTGTCAGACAGCGGCACAGTTCAATAAGGACAAGAAAACACATGACGAGGCCGAAGACGGAGAACCTGTTGCAGCCGTGGGCGAGACAGGTGACCCAGTTTGTCAAACCAGTAATGAGGAGGGAGGTGAGACAGCTGGTGAATGTAGACATCAAACAGAGGCTGACAGCGTGGCTGAGACAGAGGGTGAGGTAAACACTGGGACGGGTGTCAAGGCGTCCCGTGAGACCAAGGAAGAGAGAGAAAAGACGGGATGGGTGCTGGTCTGCGGTCAGGGCTTCCAGCTACTACGAGTCCGCAATACAGAGACGGATGCAGAGATGTGGACCACAGGGAGAGAAAAGGAGCGACTCACAGAGTTAAAGTGACTTCATGAGAAAAGTCAACATAAGTGGAATCATAAGAAAGATGGGGTCCAAACAATGACTTTCTCAAAGGACATATTTTAATCAATGGTTTATAAAGTACCTGTAAAATCCCTTGATTGCAGGTATATGGATTGATATCAAATGGATTTTAAATAAAGACTATTTATTCTCAAGCTTTCTCATTATTTACTGGATACATTGTAATTATGTAAGGCATGTATTACTTATGAGCTTGATGAAGAGTTAATACAAAAATATAAATTATATTCCTGAAACAGACTATTTTCAGCAGGAATATCACCAACAAACCCGTGAAGAGAAATAAAACGGTGACTGATGAAAGTTTGTCTAAATTTCTCTGACAACTAAAGTCATTAATTAGTTCCGGCCTGAAAACGTGTGTCTGGAATCCGGCTACATTTCTGCTTGTAACAAAGCTCCAAAAGCATTCGGTGCTCATCAAGTAAAACATCTTCATCGCTATTTCAGGAGAACATTAAAACCGTCTCTGATGTGTTTAGGCCATCTGTGGCCTCCTCCAGGGGCCAGCGCTACCAAGATGGCTGAAATGACTGGAGTTATTTTTATTACAGCATGTTGCGCATCTCAACCAGCCAGGAAATAAAGCTGCGTACTTGAGGAGAGCTTTGGGACTCTATTTTAGATCAGAACAAGGCCAAACCAAAAGACTGCCTTTACCAAATGTCTCTAAAATCTGAAAAAAAAAGCATTTGGGAGATAAAATGTCACCCTTTTGTCCGGTCCTTACCTCTTCAAAGGCTTTCTCAGAGTTTAGACTTAATAATAACTAAGTTTAGATTATAGTTGGGCTTAAAGTTGGTGTGTAGGTAATAATACATCACCCAGTGACAGTGTATCTGCTTTTCTAGTCACGCTCTGCATTAATTGTAAAGAGCATAACTATAGACAGCTGTGTGTGTGATGTGCATGCACACTTTGGTGTTTCCATGCACTCTTTGCGTGTGCATGTGTTCTGATATGCTAATTTAGCACCGTTGAAGCAAAGATGTGTTGTGATATGAATTGCTAATACTGCTTATTTAGCAGGGTGACATGGGACTGTGCACAGTTTTTCCTTTTTTGCATACATATTTTGTGTGCGTGTGTCTGCCTGCTATGCTAATGTAGCTGTGTCAGATGAAGTGTGAGTCGACGAGCGGCGTGTTACCTTGTGCCACGTTAAATGTCATACAGAGTGTGTTGATTCACAATCACCTGCCTGGAATTTAAATGTAAAAATCAGATGAAGTGTGCACCTTTGTCCCTTTGTGTGTGTGTGTGTGTGTGTGTGTGTGTGTGTGTGTGTGTGTGTGTTGGTCTGAAATGCTGGTGTTACTGAAGACGTCTGCTAAATGAGATGTGTGTATGCTGGCCTGCAAACCCTTTTGTCAATCTGTGTGTGTGTCGGTGTCTGTGTGGAGGGCCAGGTGGGGGTCAGAGCCCATGAAGGGGCCGACTGCAGGTAGCCATGAATATTTTAATATTTTAGTCTCGTCTCACATTGCCTTTTGTCCAGCACCCATCTCATCACCTGCCACTCACAATGGAGAGAAAGAAGGAGAAAAAGAGAGCAAAGGAAATGCTAATGTCGTCCTGAAAATGAACAGTGAAGGAGGAAAAAATATGGAGAGAAAAAAAGAGGGGGTAGGGGATGAAAGTGCACAAGTTCATTCCGGGAGAAAAGGCAAGAGCCAAAGTGTGTAACCACCACGATCACTTACAGGTGGAAGGAAGGCCGAGAGGAAAAAGGTGGAGGGAGAGTGACAGCACCAGTGCTGACACGGTAAAGGTGAGGGCAGCGAGGGGGGAGAAATGGAGAGGGCACCTGATGCACTGAGCATTATTGCCGGTGTTAGTTTGGTCACGGAAGAGAAAGCAGGAGGAAGAAAGACGAGGCAGAAAAGAGGACTGATTGATGAGTGGGGGAGTGTAAGATGAGACACAGGGAGATGCTCTCCATGAAACAGGATGTGTTCTCTGGGATACATTTGATGTTTTAAGAGGAGAATGTGTTTTTAATAAGTCATCTTCAGCCTTCAAACAACATGTGCAGAGAGAGGAAGTGAGTTATGGAAGCCAGCTTGAGAAGAAGTCATCAGCGTCCGTGCCGATGAAGGGCCGGGCGGGAAACTGTCCCTTGTGCGTGCGAGTGTGTATCTGTGAGGCGCGCTCTGCTTGACCCAGGAGAACGAGGAATGTCAAAGTGCCTGTCAAAGTGCAGAAGGACCGACGGTTTACAACCATCAAAGAGGTATAGACACACACTCTCTCACAGCTCTCCATCACTACTCCTGACCATGTGCCATTCACTGTATTTATTTGACTCGTGCAAATGTTAGCTTCTTCTGAACTCAGTGTCAAGAAGATTTTCAGTCCTACATCTTTGTTATCAGGGTATCTCTTATAACAGTTACAGATGCAATATTTGGCGGATAGTTCAAGGAACAAGCGATTACGCTAACACGCTCTGCGACAATCTGTAGGTTTTGTTTGTGTCAAGCTATCTAGTGGATGTTGACATATAGAGTACTGCAGGGATGACGTATTCCGCAGGCCAACAGGGAAGTTACCATCGCACTGGTTCCCTCGACAAAAATTCAATTAGAATTGTTCTGGTGAAATTTGGATTATTGCAGAAACTCAGCTCTGTGGCAAACAAACTTCAATGCTACTTACCTACATTACCTTAGAGTCATGCTGACACTGTCAACCAGAATGAATGCATATGTGTTTTGCAGTGTGTATGAACTGTTCTCATGATGAAAGACTGTAAACTGTAAACATGTGAAACACTTATTTCTGCTCAGGCTCCCGGATTGGTGATGTCACGTGACCGGCTGCCTCTCATTGGCTCATCTGGAAGTAAAACAACAGGTGATCCAGTCAAGAAGCACTAAACTCTCCATTTAGGTTATTATGCAGAAGTATATTTTGGGGCTACGTATTATTCTATAATGATAATATCTTCAATGATATTTTTGTTCATTTAATTTAATTGTTCAGGTCACAAAGTGCAAAGGTATCAGGTGTCAATTCAAATAATGCTACAATTGAGGTGTTAATGTTACATACATCTGATTGCTTTTGAATCCATTTACTTTTCAAATATATATAATTCCTAATTATCTTAATGAATTTATTTTTCTAAATAATGTCTGTGTAATATGGTAATATTTAACCATAATGGAGCTTCAGGCAAACATCTTTAATAGTTTATTATTATAGTAGTTTATTTTTGTCTTGCTGTTGCTGGCCTTTAATATCACTGAACACCTTTTTACAGAAGGGGATTGCCTGGGCAGCAGTTTCTTGAATTACTTGAAAAGCTCCAGGGCAGTATATTACTTTCTGGTCGAGCAATCTGTTTATTTGACAGAAATAAACATTAATATTTCATCATATTTTCCAAAACTGATGCTGCTGTTTTCTGTAAAATATTATGTAAACATAAACCTAATTATAAGGTATGTTTGCAACAGAGAAGCTCTACTAGCTGCATTATATTGGCCAAATACATGGTGTGGTTGGAAAATGTATGGGTGTATTAATTGTAACTTCATGTATTCATATATCCATAATCTGATATACATCTTCAGTGTTTGAAAGTGTTATCCAAGGGGACGAGGAAATATAGTATAAAGGAGGGTTTGAAGGGGACTAAAAGGGGATCGTTTAGAAGACAGGAGGTTAGTAGCCTGTTCTCATGCACAACGCATCCCGAAATGTGAACTAAGACTGTCGGTCAGCAAAGGGTGCACAGTGGGCTGGGCGATAGCAGCGGAGGGGACACTGAAGGGAATAGGTAGAGGCAGGAGCAGATGTGTAAGATTTCTAGCGGGTAAAGAATGCATACAGATCACTATGACCTACAGCAGGAATCAAAGGAAGAGGGCTGGCCAGGCAACTGGTAATGAATTAATACAGGAGGCTAGAGGCAGGGATGCAGGAACCCCGGGTTCTACTCTAGTTATACTAGAGAGAACTCTAGTTCTCTAGCCCTGAAGAACCCACGGTGACCCACAGTTGTCACGGACACTTTAAATATCCTGGAAAGTTCCTTATACAGCTTTATCCTTGATGTCCCTAAGTGACACATACTGAACATCCTGGTGAGGTCATGTGACAGTTAGTTAATTTGTGTACACATGACATCACTCCCAAAACGGCTGCCTAGCTGGTCCGCCCATTTGACAGAACTAGCTCATTTCAAAAATCTTGTTTTTGTTGCTGAAGGTAAGTTTCAACACATTTAACAATTCTAATGCTTTAATAACAAGTCCTACATTACATCCTAACTGTTCTAACCATGTTTCTCAAACACATTTATCGATATAAAGTTATGTATCAGGCATCTTTTAACCTTACAGTTGTCTCATAATAACCAATGTGACGTATTTGTCACAATAAGAAAAATAGTTATGAGCTGCTCAATTGATTTAGCTGATTCAATCATTTTTAATTAAAATATGTTCTATTGTGGAATTCAAAACATAGTTAAACAAATGTAAACTTAAAATAATGTCAAATGATTAAATTATGAGTTAAATGTATTCTGAAAGAATCTTTGAATATCAGCAAATAAAACACACAAACAAACAAGATTTAACGATCCTATATATTTTGTGCATTATGGATAACAATGAACGATACAGTGTTCAGGATGCACTGAAGATCATCCAAGAAGACAAAACAAATCTGAAACATCTATTTTTGTTAAATCTAACCAGAAAAGTTATAATTTTGATATGTGTGTGGAAATGCAAATAAAAAGGCATATTTGTGTTACTAAGCAAAAAAAAAGGCCAAGTTGATTGATTTTCAAATGAGAAGTACATTTATATCTAAACGCCCATTGTGACATATATTATGTAACATCTCAGATCTTTGGCTCTCGGGAGTAGTATTTAGAAAATAGTTACAGGATTGTGTTCCATCTGTTTTATATCCCCTATAATTTTCCAAACATGGGTTTGGGTTCTTATGGGCTAGAGACAGTTAGGTCACCCAGACCCAGGCCAAAGTGAAGGTATAAAGTGATCCTGGGACAACTAGGTTTGCTTGTACTCTGTGGGATGCAAACAAATCTAAGTGAAAGGAAAACAATCTGTGGGTGTTCGTTCCAGACAGTGGGATCCTGTGGTGTCTCACCTCTATAGTCAGATATTTAAAGTTATTCAATTAGCAGTAAGGTATTAAGACTCCATTATAATCAACGAAGCTGCTCATTAAAAATCAACCACCACAAAGAGGGTTTTAAACCAGGCCACTTTCGTTAATCTCCCCCTTCTCTCAACAGCCAAGCCATCGCTCTCCTCCCCGGCTCTCCAGCGCCCCCATCAGGTTAATCAACGAAAACGCAGCCAGCAGCAGACGTCCTCATCCGCCGCCTCGTCCACCTCTCACCCTCATCCGGGGCCTTCCTCCATCCTCGTCTCGGACACCACCATGACACCGTGGGGAGGCTTGGCCCTCTGCGAATCCTCCTTTGCCTCAATCCCCCCGCCTGACCCTCCACGAGCGCCTCCACGAGCCCCTCCACCTCCACCCCCTCCTGCTCCTCAGCCCACGCCGTCCACTCCTTATCGTGGGAGACAGAACGAAGACGAGGGGCTTTCAAGTTCAAGTTTAAGCTCTGAGGCTCCATCTCCACCTGGTGCTGTCCCTCAGGACACCTCAGGTATGTCTGGAACGATTAGTGTGTTCAGGTCCACATGAGATACTCCAAACTATCAAAACAATGTAACTTATTGGATCTGAAATAACACGAAAGGCACTTTGTCCACAACATGAGCTGCACTCAAGCTAACGTTAAGCTAACCATTAGCTATAGCTAACTCGCTTTAGCTAGCTGGCTACTCTAATGTCAGCTGACAAACCCAGTATTACTGTGTGCTAATATACAAAGCAACTTTTAAATGGACTTTCCCAGATAAACAAAGCTACGATAACATTAGCACAAGCTAATTTAGCTGGATTTGTTTCACTGAAGACATTGGGCATGTAACAGTAGTGAAGGCACAGGTGTTAATAATGAAATTAATGGTGGCTGAATTCCATTTAGCTGCTTCAGTGTCAGTGTCCTGTTGCTCTGCATGCTGGCACACTGTCAAGACTTACCAGGACACTTTCATAGAAATAAGCCACAGTTAATGTATGTTATCATTAACAGCTGTGCTGACAAAAATGACGTGACAAAATAGGCTTGTTCAATATGAGCCAGGCCTGCACTGATTTGATCCCTGGCAAACGCCTCACAATGCATGTCATTTAGATTTGTGTCCGACTTGATGTATGTATAAAGAGAACAGGATAGAGCATTGGAGGCGGTGCCCCCTTCATTCCTATGACAGTTACTTAGTGGCACATGAAGCAAAAAAAGTTTGACTTCAGAGTGTATGACTTCAGATGAAATTACCTTTCAATGGTCCGCATCCATGGGCCCATAGAGCAAGCGCACTCGCCTTTATTTTAACCCCCCTCCCCCTATTTTCCTACTTTACAAGGCAGACATGAAGAGAATAAATGATCGAATACAAAAAGCATATGCACTCACATGTCCACACCCACACACACACACATGTCTAATCAGCCAAATGAAAACAGTAAGCCTGTTGAGGATTATGGGTCCTGTCCTTCTTCATAGTTTTCTATCCGTCCATGTCCCTCTCTGTCTCTGCAGGTGGAGGGGGGAGAGGGTTGAGGGCGAGGCGGAGGTTGATGCCCCAGCATGCTCAGCGCCGAGTGCCTCGTCCCCCCCGTCTCCCACCGCTGCATCCCGTCACCAACCTGAGTTTCTCTCGGAGTTTCACCTTTTCCTTCTTCGAGCTGCCGCTGCACCAATCGCCTCGCTGCCGTGCCGAGCGCGTCCGAAACCTTCTGCTGCTTCTGAGACAGATACACTACTGAAGAGTCTGTTTTATTAGTGCTGCATTTGAAACCATCGTGAAATCTGACTGTCAAAACACTGATGCAGCGAGATAGATCTATGCTGTATTGTTAGAGCAGTATGTAGGCCTATCAAGCCTTGAAACTGGTATGTGTGACACACATTACAGTCTCACTGATGTCTGTTGTGTAGCAACTATCGCGTGTTCCTTTAATCACATGACCACAGCAAACAATTCAATGTCTGCTCTACTCTCATTCAAGGTACAAGGTTCACGTATTGTCCTTGTACAACAGGGTTACGCAACATAAGAAAATACAACAACAACAAAAAACTACATTACATGGTGGAGGGTGAAGGAGGAATTAAGGAGTCTCTGAGCCCGAGGAAAGAAGCTGCTCTGTAGTCTTGAGGTACGGAAACTGACACTGTATCCCAGTCAGCAGCATGGTGAACAGGCTGTGGCTGGGGTTAGGGTATTAATAGCCTTTGGATCTTATCTATTCCTACGTTGCTGACAGCTGGAGAGAGAGAGAGAGAAGAGACGTACACATTTCCGGTACAGAGTGACGTGACTTAGAAGCAAGCTTTTGGTGGAGTGCAGAATCCCTGAAGCTGCATCAGAACTCCGGCAAACATCGTGAGCGGGTTTGATTGTTTTTTTCTTTCCTCATGACTCTTGTGATGTTTGATTGGAGCTGCTCGATACCTGGAGATTCATATTATTGGATCCTCTTACGAAGTTGGTGACACTGTCGTGGCTTCGTGATTTCGAAATGTACCCGTCTTTGCTCTCCCCACTTCAAAAATAGTATGAGAACACATGCAGTCTCATATTTACACCTCTGTTGGACGTTAGTTTTTTCTCCCAGCCTTGACTCTCTCCTCTCTTCAATACACCCGGCAGACTCCTCTAATGAGACTGAGTTCCCTCACACACAAACCAGGAACTACATCTGTAACTCCTTTTTGGGACACCGGTTTAAGAGACTCTGATATAACTCAGGAGGAGTAACGGGACGTTGCAATTCTTTGTTTTGATGAACGTTTTTCTTTTGAAAATGTGAATGAGTTTGTATCGAAGTGATTTTGACAAAGAAGAATTTCGATAAAAGTTAGATTGATTTATTTTGTGCTGTATGTTGTTTGAAAAGTGAAGAGAATGAAATAAGATCTGCTCACATGTGACCTGGTTATTGTCTTTACAACCTTAGTTTATGTTAGCGTGGGCTACACAGACGAAGTCGGCCTAAAATGCACCCGGAGTTATTAATACAGTCTTAATTGTATCTATTGTGTCTTAATTATATCTGGAAACTATGACAACGATCCTACCTTCAGGCCTCACATTAGGCAACAATATAGCCTGAAGTTTTATCACTTTTCTTTGTGTAAGTTTGAGAGTCTTGATATATCCTTTAAATTCACATAAATATCACATCGAGGTCCCTTTTGTTATTTCACATTTATGTATGTAAAATGTACCATATGTAATCAATACCTTTACCATACATTCAATGTTTATCATGTCAATACGTGTAATGACACTTTTACAACCGATTTTGATGTTATGATGATTATTACACGAGACATCATCTTTAATTTGACTATTCAATGGTAAAATAATGGTGTTATATGTTCTGGTTAATCATTGCAAACATTACATTTGTATTTGTATGCTTGTAGTTCAATACTGTGGGCAGATGTTAAACTTCTCTCTCTTGGAGTTTCTGTTGATAAAGTTTATTTTGAAGGCTTTATTTATTTTAATGACCTCTCTTTGTACAATTTGTTTTTTTAAAGTTTGCTGTTCCAATTTCTTATTGTGGTGAGATTAAAAGGACAATAGAAACAACTGTGGAAATTAAGTTTTCTCTCTTTTCATTCCATTTGGCTTTTCTTTTTTTTTATACATGTGCCGGTTACTCTTTATTTCCCCCGTGTCTATTTTTCAAATAATTTTTGGAACATTTGGAATAGCTTTCATAAATTAGCAACTGTGCAAAATACATTAAAGTAGATTAAAACAGAGAACATCTCTTTCATTTGGTCTCTTTCTCTCTCGCTCGCTCTTTCACAAACACACACCCACACACACACACCTACACACACACACACACACACAGTCAGACCATGAGTCTCTGAAAGCTGAGCTGTGATAATAGAGGCATTCAGACGTACTGAATGGGGGGTGAATGAGAGGAGAAAAGGGGTTGTAACTCGCTGTAATGTGCAGAGTTCAAGGCTGTTCTCAACCTTCCCTGACTCACGTGTGAGAGTGTGTGGAGCTGTGTGTGTGTGTGTGTGTTATCCTCATACATGCACACTGCCGCACATGTCAACTCTTTGTACTTGTGTGCCGCTTCGTGGTGATACAGAATAGGTCAGCCGTTCTCTCTCTCTCACTGCCGTGGTTTGTTTCGTATCTACGTTAGTTACTGCTGCCCGTTGTCTTTGTCATGTAACTTCATACACACAAAAAGAAAAGTGCATGAGACACATTCAAGACACACACAGCATTGTGACAATAACAAAGTGAAACTAGACTGTACTGCCAGTAATCTTTGACATTGATTTCAGATGGACAGCGTTGAGCAAAATGGCCTTCCTCACTACAGGCAACCTTATCTGACTGTTGCCCTGGACGAAGCGCAGCTGGATGTCCTTGGGCAACGGGTAGAACAGCAGTCCCTGTCCTTGTTGGAGAGGGTGAAGTCACAATGTTGGTAAGTCAAAGGATGGGTTTAGTATTTTGCCCTTCTGTGAGTCAGTTTGTGCCCTCAGCCATTTTTAAGGGCTAACAGATGTCTAAGGCACTTGATCTGAAGCTGTGTGTGTGTGTGTGTGTGTGTGTGTGTGTGTGTGTGTGTGTGTGTGTGTGTGTGTGTGTGTGACTGTGTGTGCTCCTCCAGTTGTTCCGGTCCCAGGTTGAAGAGCTTGCTGCTTGGTTTTTTTCCTGTCCTGTCATGGCTGCCTCGCTACTCCATCAGAGAAAACGCTGTCGGGGACCTGGTGTCTGGCATCAGTGTTGGGATCATACAGCTGCCACAGGGTGAGGATGATAATCACATTAAGAGCCTTAACAACCACATGCTGCCACGACAACTTCAACTGTAACTGCAGGTTGAAAGGGTGCAAGTTGAGAATGCAGTCATACATGAAACTCCAGCTGCAAAGATGATACTTAAATGAATGTTAAATCATGTATTTAAACTGCCGCGTTGTTGCCTAGTTTTTATTCATCTTTTCCCACTTCCTTTATTTGCCCGTGTACCTTGGTAGGAATGTTTCATGAGTGCAGAGACCCCCTAAAACTCCTAAAAACCTCTCTGAGAAGAAAGTTGAGTTTTTTAGATTTTCTTAGCGTTTAGTAACACGCTCTAGCTGCTCATTCAAGCCACACTTTTCACCTCGGCCTCTCTTCTTCTTCCCCAGGTATGGCCAACGCCATGTTGGTGGGAGTTCCTCCAGCGTTTGGTCTCTACAGCTCTTTCTACCCTCTGATCATTTACTTCATCTTCGGCACCTCCAGACATCTCTCCATTGGTGACTGTCAACCTTTACTTTTCTGGAATATGCATCTCACACTCTAGTGTTAGGGGAGCTGAGTAGTTGTCTAACGGTTTGTGTGTCTGTTTATGTGTGACAGGTACTTTTGCCATCCTGGCCATCATGATTGGGTCTGAGACGGCCAAAGTGGAGTTGCTCAACAATGGTGTTGAAGAGAGTCAGATTGATGTGGAAGCGGCCAAAGTGAACGTGGCTGTACAACTCACCTTCCTCTGTGGCCTCATACAGGTATATACACACACACACGCACACACACACACACACAGCAGACAATACATGGACAAACAGACTGCACAGGCTCACACGCATCGCTGATGTTCAGCTGCCCCGGCCACCACTAAAGTCTAAATTCCACTAAAGTATCACATTTGTATTTATTAGTTCATCTACAGTTGAGCATACACAACCTGCTGAGTTTCCCAAACTCTCACTCTTCTTCATCACAGGTCAACTTGAGGTATTGAAATAAACAATCTGCCCCAAAGCTTGAAAACTGGAAAGAGGAAAAAAAGGTCTTGCTGAGTCTGTTTTGTTTTTTGGTATTCTTTCCTCTCCACGCTGGGTTCCCACGCTGCCGTGGATTTAAATCCTCTCTGTGGAGGTGGGCAAAGATTTAGTCCCGGTGCCACCCATGCACTTCAAATCGATCAATATGTTTTCTGTAGCTAAAGTGGAGATTTATAGCAGAACATTTTCAGTGATGTAAAACATAAATGATCATGTTGTATTAGTCTCTCAGAATCAAAGAGGTGTTCGTGTACGTGCGTGTGTGTTTCCCCTCAGCTCCTAATGTACCTGCTGCGTGGAGGTGGTGCGGGTCGCTGGCTGTCTGCACCTGTAATCAGAGGCTACACCACAGCAGCTGGTCTGCATGTGATGATCCTGCAGCTGCCACTGATGACTGGAATACCTGCACAGAGACACACTGGACTGCTGCCTTCAGCTTGGGTCAGTTGAAACGTCCCAAGCTTCAACTTTTAAGCCACATGAGCTCCTGTTATGTGGCTGACCCCTGACCTCTGAAGTCCTCTCTGGATTTTCTCATATGGGTTTAGTCAGTATATGCCTGTAAAGCTGAAACATGGTCCTGAGGATTTCTGTCATTATATCAGCTAAATGAAAAGTAGTGCGTGTTTATGGACGCAGCTCTCGCTTTGGTTATACAAGGACCGGGTGACTCGTGGCAACAACCCGCTCGTAAGCCTTCTTTGAGTCTGCGAAACACATGTTGACTGGATGAGCAAACTCCCATGACCCCTCCAACAGCCCTGGCAGGGTAAAGAGCTGGTCCACTGCTCTTAGGTCAAGCTGGTAAAAGTTGCTGGGGAGAGGGATGTCTGCAATACCCTGCTAAAAAATAAGCAGAAAAAAATGATGGATGGACGGAGCAAGAAGCATGAACTGGAGCGTTAGCCTCACAGTTACAAGCTTTATGCACAGTGCAGGCCAGAAGGATGACTATGATGATGACTTGTTGTTGTTTCATTAGACTGGAGGTCATAGCCCATCACCTGGACCAATACTGGCAGACCCTAACCGTGTCTCCTCACCCTTTTTAATGATTTAATTAATTGTCTTGGCAATAAAAGTGCCTTTCTCCTGCTGTGAGTCAGCGATAGCTTTGTATTTATTCTTGGCACGACGGAGGCCAAATTCAAGGTTGGCATCAAACTCTTCCAATGATGCACCTTGTCACCTCTACACAGGCAGTATTTCAAATTGGTTTGGTTTGGCTTCTCAGCTATTTGCGGGTGCCGGTTTTCCTCCAGCTTCACTGGTCCATAACTTTCAGTCTGCCTTGGAGCAGCTTACACCTTAAACAAAAATCACACCGTCTTCGCTAAAAATAAAGTGTGTTTCTGTTTTTTAAATGTTTTAGTGTGTGTGTGTTTTCTTTCAGACATTAAATGATGTTTTCCATGGAGTGACCAGCGCTGTACCTGGAGCGCTGTCAGTCTCCGGGGTTTCCATGGTGATACTCATCGGAGGCAAAATGCTGAATGAGCGCTTTAAGAACAAGCTGCCTGTCGTCATACCATGGGAACTTATACTGGTGAGAGATACACACACACACACACACACACACACAGTAGAGTCATGTCTATAAGACGCACCCAGATGGACAGATGCCACAGTGATGAACTGATGAATGACTCACAGTTACATAATAATCCGTTTATATCACCAAAACCACAAATCCCCTCATATAATAAATGTCTGCACCTGTCCTGTGATGAATCATCGTTCTGTGTTCTGATGGTGTTTTGTTTCATTTAATATCATATATGTGTGTGTATGTGTACATAAGCTGATAGGTAAGTGAGTGATTCAGTGTAGATTACTGTAGCTAAAAACATAATATGAATATAATTGTGCAAACTTTTGGCATGTTATTTAAAAATAACTCTAAATTCCATAACTTTGACTTTGTCAGAAATTGTGTTTTTAATATTAACCTGATGGTTAAAGTTTAAACCATGAACTTTAAAACAGATTTGTTCAAAATCGGGTGCCGTAGTGAGGTTTTTAATGGTATGTTGAGCTATTGTAAACAAAGACTTGCATAAAACATTTTCCCGAAGGCTTCACGTCATGATCTGTTGAGTTATAGTTTGTTATGGGAAAATGGCTTCAATCCAGGCAAAGGAGATGAATGCTGATGTGGAACCTCTTACCGGAGTGAATACTCCAAAGGCTATGGAAGCCAAGGAAATGGCGCCTATACAGTGAAAACACTGTTGGGATGGGCGGTTAATTTTTCCCCTGCTTTGGATGATGAACGTCCTGGGGCCTTAGTGAACCAAATCTCAATTGTTCACTTTGAGAACCTTCTAAAACGACAGTACGCACATGACAAGCGCTAAAACTGGAGAACAGCAAAGGGGTTAGTAATAGTCTGTACTGGCATCCATCGCTTATGAAGACAAAGCTCAGCAAATACAGAACTTGGATCTGGACAGGGGAGAAGCTGCCCAATGAGAGAGCACTATCTCCATCACTGCACCGCCACTGGTATCTGACAAACCTTCTACAATAGTGGACGAACACTATCTGATTGTGTTTGTGTACCTCCATGCGCATAATACGCACTGATTGATTTGACATTTAGATGTAAAATATTGTATGTTGTTGTTTTCCAAACTGGACATTCTGTGCAGGAAACGTCACGTTCATTGTTTTTCTCCCGCAGATTGTCCTGGGCACCATCCTGTCGGTGCAGATGGATCTGGTTGGACAGCACACCGTCCAGGTGGTGGGAGACATACCCAGTGGGTCAGTAGAACTGTCTCATTGTCTGTTTTTCCCTGTCATTCAATTTGCTATCTTTTAAATATATTGTCCAAGACTATTGTGTTGATTTTCATTTTCTTGAAGGCCTGTGAACTTTCAGGAGATGTTTGATTGTAAATATATTCATAATAGACTGTGATATAGTACTGCTTTTAAAGATTTAATTCAAAGTCTTTTACAAAGCATTGATCAGTAACATGGTGAGTTTTATTTGACTTCTACGTGCACATACTGTCTTTAATATGCTGTATGTATATTGGCACACCAATGTATTTGCTTGTTTCCATGCAATTTGCGGCTCAGTGTCTCTTCATCTCTCTGACACTTTCACCTTCCTCTAACCTCCCATCCTTCACACTTCTGTTCTCATCACACATAATATGCAAGTTAGCTTTATTGCGTTATCCCTGATAGCTTTGAGAGAATTAAAGAGAATTCATGGGGTGATTTACCTTTAACTGGTGGTCATAATTCTTTATATTACTATATATTTCATTTATTTTCTTTGAGGAATCAGTTAGTCATTCAATTGATCAAGCTGCCATCTCTTTTCCTCCTCCTCCTCCTCCTCCTCCTCCTCTTCTCCTCTAGCCTGTCTTACCCAGTACTTCCCTCTCTCTCTCAGGCCAGAGAGCTGTTCATTCCAGCTCTGTCAGTGGCTCTGGTCAGCTTCAGTTTCCTCTCAGCCATGGGCTCAGTGTTTGCACACAAACATGGCTACCAAGTGGACAGCAGTCAGGTACATTCATGGCAGTTGCAACTCTCATGCATTTCAGCCAGGGACCACAGAGAGATCACGCTTTTGTCGTCGGGTCTGCATGTTAGAAAATTGCAAAAAAGGGATAACAGTGCATATTATGCACACATGCATAATTATGAAGATTCTGATAATGTGTATAAAAGGTGAGAGAAGCTTTTTTCAAACAGTAAGAACATATCTTCCAACATCTGCATGTTTTAATACAAAGAATGAATATTTTGTGCTCCTCCTATATTCACCAGAAATGTGCACTAGTGAGCACTAGGCTCACTTTCATATTCAAACATACAATTTCAGAAAACTTGTAATACAGAGAGTACTTGAACTGGGGAAGTTCTATGGTGATATCTATTAGTGATTTTCTTTTATAAAATAAGAAATATCCAAAATTCAACAAAATGACACAATAATGTTGAACCTTGCTTTATCCAACGTTCAGATTTCTGATCTGAAATGTATTCAAATTATCACATATTTAATAAGATAGAGCCTCATTTGCATATTTACTAAATCAAACGTTTCCAAAAGCATGTAATTACCTTAATGTAAGTTATCAACTGGGGAAGTTTCATGGTATCTGTTAGTTAAATAGTATCACCCTTACCCCAAGATCTTATTTGAGGTCTTGGACATGTCCAGCAGGCCAACCAGTTCCCCCTGAGTAAATGCCAGCAGGATCCCTGAGCTGGGCTGCAGCCTCGCTGCGTACTTTTCAAATTGCTGCTGTCTGTCTTGGCCTCAGGACCTGCTGGCTCTGGGTCTGTGTAACACCATAGGGGGAATGTTCCACTGCTTCGCTGTCAGCTGCTCCTTCTCTCGCAGTATGGTCCAGGATAGCACTGGTGTCAAAACACAGGTATGTAATCTATTCCAAAAGATATAAAAACACCACCTCTGTCTTTGCACTGTGTCAAAGACTGTCTAGGGAAGCAACATTATCTAATCTTTTCATATAGTGCATTATATAACTTACTTAATTGGTCTTTTGTCCTCTTCGTTATTGACTGCTTTGCTTTCCTTACTGTCCTTCTGTTGTGTCTTAATCTCATGTGTTAGATGGCCGGATTGGTATCAGCTCTGTTGATTCTAACCATCCTGTTGAAGATCGGTCATCTCTTTGAACAGCTGCCAAAGGTAAAATACATATGAGATCACAAACGTTATTTATGTTCATCATATATGTTGTTAAGCGAGTGCACCAGAAGTTCGTGCTGACGGTTCTCCGGCCAGCTTGGCTCGCCATGAACCACCACAGAATGATGACGGAATGATAGAGAATACCAGCGAAGATGTTTTAAGAAATGCCAAGTCATACTCCATCTGGACGAGACTCACTGTCAGTATGATTCACTCGTCTTAGTTCAGTAATGCCTTGCTGTGTGTTCCAGGCGGTGTTGGCAGTGATCATCGTGGTGAACCTGCAAGGGTTAATGGCTCAGTTCAAAGACTTGTGTGTGCTCTGGAAGTCTGACAGATTAGACCTGGTGGGCTACACACACACACACACACACACACACACGCACACACACACACACACATTATCCAAGCTCAAAGCATAGACCCATAGTTACAGATCTGATCCTGGTCCTCTCTCCTCCCTGCTCTCCTTCAGCTGGTGTGGGTCACCACGTTGATTTCCACGCTGGTCTGTAACCTGGACCTGGGTCTGGCTGTGGCGGTCATCTTCTCTCTACTCACGCTCATCTACAGGACGCAACAGTCAGTTCATATCATTTTACAGGCGCTACATGGGGCATTTTACATCAATGTAACATCATTACTGTACATTTACTCAGAGATTATCAGGGTAGCATAGGAGGACGGGGGTTTTCACCAGCCGTGACAGCGATGCTGGTTATTGTTTTCAACAGGGGAGTCTGTGTGTGAGTCATCATGGCCAAATGTGGTCCTGGTGACACCTACTGTGGCGGGAACTACCCACAGCAGTAGGTGTCTGTCTGTCTGCGGACGGATTTTCTCACCGCGATAGCGTCACAGCCGTACAAGATGCAGTCACAAAACTGAAGGCCGAGTTTGAAGATGGGTGTAGATGGGCGCCCGTGTTAGAGGGAAGCGGGGAATAGACAAAGAATGAGAATAGTGTTTTTCATCTTAAAAGTGTTGTATTTCCTTCCCTCCTCTCCCAGGCAGATGGGCACTGTCATTAATATTCCCCCGTCTATTACTTTCATCTTGTCCACGTCTTTCAGCTCCTCCACTGTTGTTTTGGGTCATATTCCTCATACAGACTGTTACAGAGATGTGGGACTCTACACTGAGGTAAGATCAATCCGTCTCACAGGTGTCACGAGAATAAGTAAAAAAAAACAGTTTGGTTAAAGTTTGGTGTTGTTCAAGGTAAACTAGGTAGAAGTAGATTGTCTCGTCCCTGCTATTTCAGCAGGGAAGAGACAAACTACGAAGTGATGTGTAGCTCTGGTGTCATTTGTACTGAACTAAACAAAGTGGGAGTTTTCTTGAAGCCAGCGTCTAGTGGCCATGAGAGGAACTGCAGCTTAATGCTCTTCTCTTAGCGATATGAGAGCGGTGTTATTGATCACCTCTCGACAAGAAAGCGAAAAAGCCTATTTCCAAAAAATGTAGCAGTATTTCTATTAAGTTGTTGTTCGCTTATTCAAACTTTTGGTGTCATAATGAGTTGTCACAAATCCAAAACATCCGATTCTCTACTTAAATCCATCTGTCATAGATGGTCTTTAATACATATTCTCAGATAAAAGCAGTTAGTCGGTTCTACTTCAACCTGCTACCACACTATGAACTTCTAATGTTTTCTTCCTCCACCTTTTCTCTGCAGCCCAGTCACAGAAACCTTTTGCTAAACTTGCCCCAAACCTTCTTCCATAGCACCAGCTGGTGCCTTTTTTATAGGTCAATTAGAGGCAGCCACTTTTGACACTAAAGAAAAGTAATGCAGCGAAAAAGACCAATGTCTGCAGGTGTGTCTAATTCAACAATAATTGAATAATGTAATCGTTGATTATTGGGCAGCAAGTCATTACACACCTTCAGTATACCAAGGCCTGACTCGTGGCGCTTTCCAGATCGGAAGATGAATCACACTAACCTTACATGACACCCGATGATCTTAGCTGATTGCAGGCTGTGGACTAGCATATCTAAAATGCCATCAGTGTGAAACACAGTCACTAATGAATTCTCCACAGTCTGTCCCATATCTGCTCATGAAACGCAGCCCTATTCCAAATGGATCACAGCATCCGCAATGCAAATGCACATCAACACAGCAAGCGTTTGATGGGTACTAATGTCACGATGTAGATCAATGCCAATCTGAATAAATAAGCAATTGAAAAAATACATTTATCCTAAAGTTTATACTAAAAATAGGTTTGGAAATGATTTGAGTTGGTATTTATGTAGCAGGCCATTAAACTGCGGTGTCTCCCCAACATGTAAACGAAGAGCCAAGCCAACCAAATTCTTCAGTGAATGTCAGTCTTTCATCGACTTAATGAACCACTCTGAACGGTACGACTGTCACGCAGCCAAAACACAGTAAAAATACATCCCTGGCTGAAAACCACCATCTGCCACACATCAAAAACACCAAACTGTCACCAAAGGCAATCTGTTGGTGCTCCGAGCGTCAGTGAATTCCTGTCAACTCCTCGCTCTCTGTTCCCTCCGCTTGATTCTCTCCTCAATCTGTTTCACTGCTGGCTGCTTCAGCACTTCCCTCTGTGTACTTCGTCAAGTATCTGTCATGCATTAGTGATGGTGTATGTAGTGGCTTTCTTTGTAGAATTCTGCATATATTCTTAATTTATTATTGTCTTTCATCTCGCACTTTAGAGCCAGACAAGTTAACGAAAACAGAGGATTTGTTGTATCTCCGAACTAGATATTCATTAAACTTGTTTGTTGTTTGGTCCAAGAAACGTACTGGTTGTTGTAAGTCCTTGGCCTTCTTTCCAGGACGTCACTATTGTGCCAAGATATAAAATGGAGTTTCTGCACAATGTTAAATGCATTAACTGCATGTGTGTCTTTGTTGTGTGTGGGGGTTTTTTAACAGGCAAAGCCAGTTCCCGGGGTGACTATACTCTTCTATTCCAGTCCTATTTACTTTGCCAACTCTGAACTGGTCTTCACACAGATCAAACAGGTGCCAACACACACACACACACACACACACACACACACAGAATATGGAATAATTATGACAAGAGCCGATTTTGAGTGACAGAATCAATCAATATACATGTTCAATGCCAGCACCTACGCTAGGAAATGTACTGCTGTGTGACTAACCTTGTGTAACTTTTCCTCACCACATCCAGACAGTGAGTCGTGGTCAGAAGGAGAACCCAGCTGGAGTCCACACCTCTTCTTCCCCCTCCTCCCCCTCCTCCTCCTCCTCCTCAGGCCGGACATCGACACACACTCATTGCTTGGTTCTGGATCTCAGCTCAGTCACTTTCATGGACTCTGTGGCCATGTCGTCACTTTGCAAGGTGAGAGAAGAGAACTGGAGTGACGTGTTTAAACTCGTATTCAGTTTCATTTGAGCTCTGTCAATCAAACAGTGTGGGTGATGCTACTGATGCATCTGCACCTGGAATCTTTACTTTGATTTCTGCAGGCGGTGCTCTTTTCTTTGTCTGAGACGTCTGTCACTTGTCGAGCTTCACTTCACTTCAGTTTGCTTTCTCACACTGGGAGTTTAACGCACATAATCTCTATTTCAGCAAATGATCTTTCCTAGAACAGACCTACTATAGAAGCCCTTTCTACTAGTGAAAAATATGAAAGGTTATGTATGATAAAGATTTTTAAAAGTGTCACAAATTTCATCAAATACCGATGATAATGTCTTATTTGACACTAAGAAATAGCAAAGCAGATGTTAATAATACTGTTTTATATGGTAGTTTATTGCTTTGTATGTTAGATGAAGTACATGTGCAGATGCAGAAGTTCTATATGTACATTTTACATATCCTTCGATAATGTTGAATATAATAGGCCTTTATGTATATATAGTATATAAAGCCTGAAAAACAAAACAATGAAACATGCTTGTTATTTTTAGCCTTGACTACATTTTGCAGTTTGATTTGATCTGATGGAAACATCAACTTTGGTTTTCTGCTCATCAAAGACATTCACAAGTATTATTTAAGGCCGGACTAGAGGTCCGGTAAGTGCACGTGAGATAATGAAAATATGAGACACACCCTCTTGGTTGCACACACACACACACACATACACACACACACACCCAACAGCTTTTGACTCATAGACCAGTCATACTAATAGAGCTCGTCCTCCTCTTTGACCTTAATGATAGAAGAAGAAGTAAATTCATTCATTAGACTCATGGAGTCAACACGTGCTTGAATATAACTACAAGTGTAAAAAAAAAGAAGATTTTCATGATGTGTGTGTGCGTGTGTGTGCGTGTGTTTTATTCACTAGGTTGCAGAAGACTTGGAAGTTCAAGGTGTCGGCGTGTTTCTGGCAGCGTGCCCAGGTCAGCTTCATGTTTCATACTCATGTATAAATCTCGGATAGCGTGACTCATCTGTCTCTCTCACACATTCATTCATTCATTCATTCACACACACACACACACACACACACACACACACACACACACACACACTTTGTCTAGCGTTGGGCTGTTGCTGGCCGTTTCCCACCATGCCTCCCATACTGCACCTCTTCTTGAAGCTGTTTAGTCCTTTCTGAACTCCTACAGTAACAGTTTTTTATGTCACAGCAAACACATGCGGTCAGACAGGTTGAACACACCCAAACGGTCTGCGCGGTGTGCATGAAATAAATACCATGAAACTTTCAAATCAAAGCATTAAGTGTGTGATCTTGATGCCCTCTCTATGTCAACAGAGAGAATTTTATCTCAGCTCCAGACTCAGAGTTGTAGAACAGACAGCCTGTCCACTTCCTGTCTCTTCCCGTCAGTCCATCATGCTGTCCAGCGCTGCCTCAGCACCCTGCCAAGGCCTCTGGAGGTACACGTTGTCTCGCTTCCAAGTTCATCTGTAGACATAATGAGATAGACATATTTCAACCGAGAGTTTTTAGAGTTTCAAATGATATCACTTGAGTCTGGGTCAGCTTGCAGCTGAAGATTTAAGAAGTTATGATAGAAAATGAAAATAAGTTGAGTGGCTTTGTGTTTTTCTAGGACGAAGAATCTGCGGTTCTGCTGCATTGATTTTGATTTTACTTTTAAACTGTTATTAGAGTGCCATGCAAAAATCCGTGGACTACTCCCTTAATGCTTTGACACGACATCTCACTGAATATAAAGTCTACAATAGCGTTTCAAGAAACATTAATTGTTTCTCTGTTCATATCTCTTCTCAGGAAATCAACCCAGATGCAAGTGAATGTTGAACCTACAGGACAGTTCAGTCATCTCAGTGCATCAACAGGGCCCGAAAAGAAACCCTGGGGTGACAGTTAAGGCTTTAAGATGGCCGACGGAAGAATCACCGCAACATTTTGTTCAGAAAGAAAGACATTAACACCTTTCCACTGTGTATAGGCATACACTTCTCACACATTCCCAGACAATACATGTAACTGTTCCACAATTTGCACCATTTTTGACCTCTCTGTCATGAAGTATTTGAGATTTGATTAAGATTGCCCAGCTTCCAATAAAGCATCATTAGCTAGGTTTCAGTCCATCACCCTCTGGGCTATAGGTGCAGCTTTCTTCCACTGCACCACGCTGCTGCCCAAAGGCCCCAGCAGCCATTTTGTTATAGCAATTTAAACGCGTATGTAATTGATAGAATTAATTACGGTCACATTCTATTTAGTATTCTATTCAACATGCTTTACACCAGGGCCCCGGCCCACCAAATCAGAACAGCACTAGATATTACAAGACAAATATTAAACTGTTAAATCTGTGTTGTGCAGTTACTTTGTAGAGATATAATAACCTTGCATCTGAAACAGTTAATGTGTTGCTCAGCCTCCAGAATGGCAGACAGTTACACAATAAGAAAAATAAATCTCCACTCCTGTGGTTACATACCAAAGACGGGAGTTGACTTTTGTTTTCATAATTGAGTCATAGTCACCGTCTGTCCTGTTTCTCTGCTGAACTCTATGTGTGTTGGATTAAGTGACAATGACGTTGTTACGTTTACTGTAGGTGACACAGACAGACATGTGAATGAAAATATGCCCCTCCCTTCCCTCTGTATCTTAAAAATACAAACTGTATTTCTAACTATTTGTAATCAGAACATAACAATGTACAGTCTTCATATATAAGACACATCATGAGCTCAAGACAGCAGTTTGCAGACGAATATCTATGAACTATGTTTTAGGCTTTTTAGGCTGCACTTCATGACAAAATGTGCCAGTCATTCTCAGGCAGGTGTATGAGAGTGAATATGCCGAGTGATCATCTGACCTTAAAAAATATATATTTAAAAACTTGTACTGGCAAAAGAAATAAATAAAAACATGTTGCGTTAGACTGTGTAAGATCAGATCTAAACATGAAGTATTGGAGATGTGAACAAGAACAGCACAGTCATCAGAAGTGAACTCTGTTGTTGCACTGTAGACAGTAGACTGTGATGTCAGCAAAATCAAGATGTGAAGAAATTACTCTTTAACAAACATGATTACGGCATTAAAACATTTTCTTCTACAGACAGTTGTGAACCGTTCATTGAGCGAGAAGAAAAACACACAGCCTCCCCCATTCCTGCCGCCGGCCCTCCCCACTCTTATCATTTTCGTAAAGTCTGTTATGTCATTTTTATTATCTATAATTGCTGGTTTCACACGTTCAGGCTAAGTGTAGCGCTCGACCCTCAAAAGTGAATCAAGACATGCAATGAAAACCGCAGTGACGGGTTGTTTTTCATTAATAGGAAAACATCAGTCCATGTTAATGTGTAAGTCAAAGGAAAGCACCGCTCAACTGCCAGGAAAAACACTTAGCAGAGGATGGTTTCGATCCATCGACCTCTGGGTTATGGGCCCAGCACGCTTCCGCTGCGCCACTCTGCTGGCAAGATAATATACAGATTCAAACATATAAATACCTGAGTACAAGTGGCGTATCCCTAGGTTGACTGTGGAAGTGAGCCAGGTTATATTATGGCGTAAATTTACAAATGTCCCCTAACGCATCGCAAGCCGAGCAGGCTGCTGGAGCTATCTCCAGAGAGAGTGAGAGAGAGAGAGAGAGAGAGAGAGAGAGAGAGAGAGAGAGAGAGAGAGAGAGAGAGAGAGAGAGAGAAAAAGAATGTGTGTGTGTGTGTGTGTGTTACAGAGGCTCATTTAAGGTTAACGTGAGGTTTGAGAGTGCAAAAACATGTTTCTAATGTTTGCTTTCAAAGAGGTGAAACTGAGCGGAGCTGTCAGGGAGAGAAAACTACTAAACTGGCTGTTGAGAGGGAACATGTGTTTAGGGCGTTTTCTTTCCAATTAAGTGGATTACTGTGGTGAGTTAGCTAATGTTAACGTTACTTAAAGTTGGCTGGTTAACATTGATATTACGTTGCAATAGAGTTGAATTGCGTGTTATTGTATTTTCAGTCAGGATGTAACATTGGTTGTGGTGTGTAGTAAGTTAAGCCTCACGTTACATGTGGTTGTTGTAATGAACTGTTTGGCTCATCTCTGTCGGACTAAGCTAAGTGACATGCAACATGTAATGTTGCTCGAGCTCTAGTAGCTAAAGGACATGAAGAAGTGTATGTGTGTGTGTGTGTGTGTGTGTGTGTGTGTGTGTGTGTTTTGAACTGTGCTTCAAGCTAATAGGTATGTGCTAAGAAAATGTAAAAAAAGAGACAACACATTTCATAATTGTTTGATATAGTTATTGTAAACTCAGACTACATGATAACTGTTCTGCACACTTGTTTTTTAGGGAGCATTCTCTCTGTTGACATTGTGGAGCTGCTTTGCCATCTGGATAGCTGCTTGTGGCCTCATCTTGTCTCAAACTCTGACATCTGACAAGAGGGTGGTAGGAGCCCAATCAAAGGCATACAAAAGGAAGTCCAAGGTGATGTATCTTGGGGTTTTCACAAAGGTGTGACTAAGCAATGAAAACACAAATGCCTATTGATCGACCAAAAAACACATTTATCTTTACAAAAGCATATTGTTTGTCCCGCTTAGTTAACCGGTATCTGTCTGTCCAATGATTAAGCCCTCCCATTCACTCTGGTGCGATCATGATTATACAGGAACAACCCTGACTGAGCTGAAATGGCTGACTAATCTAATCACACTCAGATAAGACATAAAACGCACATGTCGAAGACTGTCTGATTTAAAGTGAGCATTGTATTTTCTACACTTTTGTCTGCATTCATCTGACCTCTCATTTGTTTAGTTTCCTGTATGTATTTATATCATGCTGTGTTCCTGTAAGGTCAATTCACACAATACATAAAAAAATCTATGACAATCATTACAAAAACAGTGACCTCACTCTGTAAATATTCAAACATGTGGCTCATCTCTAATTTCTGCCACTTTTGTTACCACCCCGACAGTACAGCTGCACGTTAGAACTTTGCCCTCTCCCTCAACAACAATATCAAATATCTAGATTTCCCTTCAAGGTCTCAAGGAACAGCAGAGGAGCCACGACATAACTGTCTCACCCCCAGACAACTGAGGGAGGAGACAAAGAGGAAATTATATACAGTATCTACCTATTGTGTCAGCGAATCCTCACCGTCGTGGATTTCAGCGAAACAAAATCTTATCTTCATCTGTTGGCTGCAACAAAAAGCAATCACGACTTGTCGTTTGGTTCCACTTCTATCTGGTGGAAAACTCTACACCAGATTCAATTTGAAGCCCGGAGACCACTTCACACAGAGAGGATTAATTCTTCATGAAGAGCGATGTGCCGTCTTGTGATTGAAGGAACTTTTTTTTTTTAATTTAGATGGAAGACTTTCATTCCAACCTTGAGCAGCAATAGACTTTGACTTGGATCTGTTTCCTCTGAACTGGAAAAACGGATAAAAGACATCAGCATAGAAGACTCAACAGTACATCACTCCTCTGTAAACCGACACTGAACTTGGTTCATCTCAGGGCTGCAGAAGGTTCTGGGCTTTTTTGTAAAAGACATCTTTTCAATATAATAAAAATATTTTTCTAATACGGCCGGAACACAAGGTAATTATTATCCAATGTTTCAGTTTAGTCCCAGAGGTATCGTGATCAAGACTTGAATGAACATGAAACTAACAGCTGTTGATGTGCAAAAACAATAATTAGATTAAGATCTTATAGATGTAGTAATATATTGTACTTCTTTAAGATTTATTTTTAGGTCGTTTCTAAAAATGGAAATGATTTTAAAATGGAAACATTGTTGAAATTACAACGGCAGCATTTGGACAATAATGTTTGAAAATACAAGGAATAGATTTTCTGCCAAAATACATACTTGTAAGAAGAGAAGTTAGCTTCCTGTTGATGTTGCCGCCTGTTGAAGCCATGGCCGAGAGGAGACGGATGGGCTACAGCGTGCACAGGGAGATCCTGGACGAAGAAGCAGTGGATGAGTTGGCAAAAAAGTCAGACTCGAAGCCATCTCTGTCTGAGAAGGTCAAAAAGTCAATGAGGTAAAGTTCCCCACGTCTGATCTACGGTGCATCTCAACTGATTTTTTTCTCTACATAATCAGACATTTCCTGTCTTGTTTATTCAGGCACAAAGCAGACAGCAATTACTCTCTGAATAAATTAGTCGTCGTACTCCAGAGTTCTTCAATAAACTTACTGTGGTCTACTTGAATATTTTAGTTCAAGTTAGAACATCTGGCTCACGATTACACAAACTAAATCAAAAGAACAATTTCTGCTCAGTTTGTCATACGACAATAACTCCTGCTTTATCTACTGCGTGTCAAAATGTTTGGCCAAAGTACATAAAGTCAACAAATGTGTGTAATATATAGAGAGATAAAACAGAGCTACACAAACGTCTGAGAAAAAAATCAGCAAGTCACGTCTATCCAAATGTAAGAATACTGTTTAGTGAGTCCCCTAATGATCACATGACAGGACCTTCTCTTTCTCTTGTCTGTCTCTCTGACACACAAACTCAGGTGTTCTGGTCCCAGGTTGAAGAGCTGCCTGCTGGGTAGCGTTCCTGTCGTGTCATGGCTGCCTCGTTACTCCATCAGAGAAAACGCCCTGGGTGACCTGATTTCTGGAATCAGTGTGGGGATCATGCACCTTCCGCAGGGTGAGGATGGAGGTTCAGAAGATCAGTTCAGGCCATCAGATCGTGTATCGACAACTGAATGGATGATTGACGATTGTTTTTTACCCACGCCAATATCAAAAAACGATTTTAACCGACCACCATCAGAGCTAAGATGTCATCAGAATGTTGTTATGAGTGCATATAGAGATGTTTCTGGTGGAGCGGTATGTTCGCCCGCTGAGCCCCGTTAATCGGCACGAGTGACTTTCTAAATCCTTAATTACAAACCAGTTTGCCGTCTCTTTTCCATTGAACTGACACCCTTCATCTCTGTTCTCCACGTGTCAGCTCAACAAAACTTTGTTCTGCGCTCCATGAGAGTAGTTCATGTTATGGATATGATTGTGATTTTAAAGATAAGGTAGTAACATTAACACACAGACTTTAAAAAGGGAGCCGCTGTTTCAATAGAGGAGACATTGCTGTTAAATAGATTTTTTTTTTTTAATGTTAAAATATTTTAAATATAATGTTCACAATGTTTATTCATGTAACTTTAATTGTAGAAGTTATGAAGTAAGAGATGTTGATATAATATGTTTATTTTAAATGGTAATCTGCAGGTTTTGCATTACTCAATATCTTCCCTGCTTTTAGCTGTTTTCTAATTGTTACTGTATTGTTGGAAATCATATCCTCTGCTATCACTTCAGGTATGGCCTATGCCCTGCTAGCCTCTGTTCCTGCAGTCTTTGGACTTTACTCCTCCTTCTATCCCGTCCTCCTCTACTTCATCTTTGGCACTTCCAAGCACATCTCAATCGGTTTGTACTTCAACACTTGCTGTGTCTGCACACTAGTCATTTTGAGAAGGGGGGATTAATCCACCATAAAGTTGTGTGGATAGTATGAAAACGTGATATAGCAGGATTACTAACATACTGAGAGATTTTTCTTTCATTGCCTCTAATCGACCAGGTTTAGGTTTTAAGACATTCAGTCAATAATCTTTTTAGCTGAAGCCCTTCAATTGATTGATTGACTATAAGTCATGAGAAAACTTTTGACATGTTTGTTTTTAAAGCACTTGAAAAATGGTTCTCATAACTTTAAGTATTTAGCTATAATTGTTAATGTGCATGAGTAAATTAGAGCTAAAAACCTGACGACTTCAATCAGATTCTGAATCTAATAGCGATGTGAACTGGTTCTGGAAGTGCTTTCCCATTCTGCAGTCCCAAAAACGTTCATATACGTTCATGCCATGGCCACCAGTTTTAATTATTTCAACATTTTATCCTGAGACATCATGTTTTGTTGTTTTGCGTGGAAAACCTGTCTGAATACGACAATATTCCTGAGCCTCTGCCACCAATGCCATTGAGAAGAAGCCAGTTAAAGGGACTAGAGCGGCAGCAAATTCAAAACAATTTGAAGTTGAATTTGTGAACAAAACAGCGCCAAACTTACAGTATATTCATCTTCTTCAAATTCATCAATTTTCACAAAAGTAAACAGATTTAACATTTCAACATCTCAATCTTTGGCTTCCACACACTGTTACCGGCGCATGTAACAGCATTTTTAAACTTCCTTATAGGAGGTGTCTTTGTTGAAATGTACCTTGAGAATCATTAACTTCCTCCCCAAAGTTTTTATGAACACAGGCTTTTACCTTTCGGTTTTTATAAAAGAAGCAAATATTTTCCAACACAGTTGTCAATCTTTTGTACTGATGGTTAATCTGGAAGATGCCGTTCCAAGCCATAGAAGTGCTCCAACTGTGAGTAATCCAACATTTTCTAAAGGAAAATGAAAGCGATGTTTACTTCTGGAACCAGAAACCTCCCGAAAAAGCTCATCCAACTTTACTACTGCCTTTTTTTTATTGCTCATTTTTGCTTGGTAGGTGTAAATACATTACCTGCCAACAGATGTCAAACCAGTGAAATAGTGAAGAGCAAAATAACCCAAATGGTTACAAATGTTACCACTTTGGGCTTTAGTACCAAGGTGGCATTGAGAAAGATGTCTCTCAAAATATCCAATATGATGTTTAATGTCCAACACAAATATGTGTTGATGTCTCTGTCTCCCTTCTTTAGGAACATTTGCCGTGTTGAGTGTGATGGTCGGAGGGGTGACAGAGCGATTAGCTCCAGACTCCGACTTTATGACATGGGACAATGTGACCAACGCCAGTGTAGTTGACATCATCCCCCGGGATGCAGAGAGGGTCAGAGTGGCTGCAGCCGTCACCTTCTTGTCTGGATTATTTCAGGTGAATTAGAGTTACTGGAAGTCAAATATTTGGGAGTAATCCTCCCATTGGGTATGGGACAGAATGCTGTCATCACTATCAATAGCCACATGCTGCTAGCAAGAAATACAAGAAAAACTCTTGGCTGAAAGGTAAAATTGTAAATAATTAGTTATGATGGCTTAGGCAGGTGTATTTCTTTGTATATCTGTAAAGCTACACACTGGCTATCATCTGTGAGTAAACCAGTTTGTAATTCCATAAATTTTAATTTCATGCACGGGCGTAAATAGTTTTTTATTAGCTATGACAGCATGGCTGCTGTGTCCCTGTTTGTTCCCCCCTCTTGTTAATGTGAAGCTTCATGTGTTTTTCCACATGTATGCAGATTCTGCTCGGTCTAGTCCAGTTTGGCTTCGTTGTGACCTACCTGTCTGAGCCGCTGGTCCGAGGTTACACCACAGGCGCTGCCATCCACGTCATCGTGTCCCAGCTCAAATACACCTTTGGCATCAGCCCTGTGAGACACAGTGGACCCTTGTCTTTGATATACGTGAGGACAAACCCAGTCGTCAACACCTGCTGGCTTCTACATGTTTTGTTTTTTATTTTAAAGAATAATGCTGAAAGTCATAATTATTTCCAAAGCATATTATAATTTTGGACAGTCTTGAGTGATTTCTACAAGTCAGAGAATTAAACCTCATCCAGCATAGTTTGCTACAAAATGTATAATATATATCTGTATCCTTCTTCTAAGCATGCTTTTATCTCCGCACAACATAACAGCCATGACTGAGACATTTGCTTCGGCCCACTGACAGTCTTCTCCGTGATGGACAAGAATCTGACATGAGCATTGTCTATTCTTGAATAAAATGTTGTGCTACTTCTCTCACTCATGCTTCCTCCTATAAGCATTTAAGCAACAATGATATTATTTCTTTCATTGCAGACTGTGTTGGAGATATGCTATCTCCTTCCAAAGACAAACATTGGTACTCTTGTGGTCAGTATCGTCGCTATAATCGGCCTCATCCTCGTTAAGGAGCTCAACTCATACTTGAGTAAAAAACTACCTGTTCCTATACCCGTGGAGCTGCTTGGTGTGAGTATACAGTGGTATATGGGCTTGTAATATACTCTATGGAAGGCTAGTTCCTAAGACACACACACCATAACACTTAAACCCACTAATACATCTCTTATTATCTGTGTCTCCAGATTGTAATTGCTACAGTCATCTCCTGGCAAGTTAACTTGGCGGGGAGATATGGAGTGGATGTGGTGGGACTGATTCCCTCAGGGTGAGAAACACACACACACACCAATCATACAGGAATGTGCATTTACACATGTGAAAAGTGAAAGTGTTTGTAATGGGCGATGTATTCCACTTTGTCCATGTCTACCAGCCTCCAGCCGCCCGTTCTCCCAACTGCCTCTCTGTTTGGTCAGGTGATCGGGGATGCCTTTGCTATAGCGGTGGTTGGCTACGGCATCGCCATCTCACTGGGACGAATCTTTGCCCTAAAATATGGATACAAGGTGGACAGCAACCAGGTGGGTAGGTGATGGAGGGAATCCAGGATGAACTGCCCTTTTAAAGTTGATATGAATAAATAAATATATATACAATAGTCTGAGTTTCCTTGTTTCAGGAACTGATCGCGCTGGGTCTGAGTAACTCCGTCGGAGGAATCTTCCAGTGTTTCGCCATCAGCTGCTCCATGTCTCGCACCACGGTTCAGGAGAGCACAGGCGGGAAGACTCAGGTTGGTATGAGTGGACATTATCCTGCTGAACTGGCCTTGAGTGATACATCGTTAGGGTGCCTTTATCTCTGTGCAGAGAGCATTTAGTATGATTTTAGAAATCAGTGAGCAAAGAAGGTTTAGTTTGAGACTACTACATTTTTCAAAATGAACGGGGTAGTTGGATTTTAAAGGGTCATTTCACAAAGTAAGTCCTATATTTTCACACTTACCCTTCCTAGTATCGATACAGAAAAAACTTCATACTTCTGTACTTAACTGTTTTTCTTATTTAGTTTACATGATATTTGTTGCTTCTCCTGAGATTATTCCAAATAGCTGAACACCATTTCAGCAACATTTAGAAAAATGCTTATTGGTTTTCATGCCTTGTTTTAACTTAACCAGGCCGTTTCATGAGATAATTATTCAGATCAGTATTTTCATCCCAACACTTCACTCAGCCCATAGCGACTAAACTTGGGCCATCTCAAAGGTTAAATGATGTGGAAAAAACGGTCATAATTAACGTCACTCTGAAGTGGCGTCATTAAAAAACACTTAGGCAATCGATTTTCGCTCACATTGTTGACGTCCACCTACACAAACACAGATTGGCTGAGAGGCTAAACTGATTTAGCCTGACAACACCATCAGTCAGCTAAGGCCCATTACAGAGGAGAGGAGAGGGGAGGCTGTAACTGATGGTGCCTTGACTCCTCTCATAATCATGTACCAATTCTCTTTAATAATCACTTCATCATTCATCTTTTCCTCTTCTTTTTCTTTCACTCTCTTGCTCTGATCTCTCAACAGATTTCCATTCATCATGCCTCTATCTTCTCTCTCTCTCTTCACTGCAGGTTGCTGGCGCTCTATCAGCAATAGTTATCCTTTTCATCACGCTCTGGATTGGAACTCTCTTTGAAGATTTGCCGAAGGTATTGTGTGTGTGGGTGTTTGAAAGCCTTCACATCTGTGCACAAGCACGAGAATACACATGTGTCCAAGTCTCAGAGTGAATGTTTTTGCTAAATTGTGAACCACCCTTCCCAAAATATAGACAACAGCTGAGATTGTGTTGCTGTAAGGCCAACACCAGATACTACTTCAGCTTCGTACTAAAGCATCTGGTTACTTTTTTTTAAACAAATGATTAAAACATTGAAAGCAATGATTAAATCAGAGGCTGTAAAGCAAAGTAACGATATGAATTCAGGTCTGCCCACTCTTAGTCATTTGTTTGCAGCCTATTTAACCAGAGCACATAACACTTCCACATCCTGCATGAGAGGTTTATCTCAAGCAAACTAACTCATCTTCATGTTTTAGGCCTCAAAACTGGAGCTCTCCGTATAAACTATATTAAACTTGACTCACTTTGCAGGCAGTGCTGGCCGCCATCATCTTTGTCAACCTCCATGGCATGATGAAGCAATTCATGGATATCCCTGTACTGTGGAGGAGCAACAAAATAGACATGGTGAGTGTACTAACAACTATAGGTAAGGAAATGGTTAATGTTTTGGAAACAGGATGTACTGCACTGACATATCCATACATTTTTCTATACAGATTAAATATTATTTTAAATCCCAGATCTTCACAAGCTATTTGTGACCTAAAGATAAACAGATAAACAGTGAATTCTTCATGAAAACTTCTCCAGCACAAGAAACTCCTAAAATTGATGATCATTTCCTGTCAGCCTCACCTATTCTCAGAGATTATTGCTCACAGCCAGTTGTATTGGGATTCAATAATGTTAGCATGATAGCTAAATATTAGCATGTTACACTAGCATGTGATGTGACTCTACTCTAGCCTAACTGTGTGCATGTAAACTGCTAAAAAGCTAAACTTTGCATGCTTAGCATTAGCATGTTAACACTTACATAACTCACTATACTAAAGCTGCTGGTTCAATTTTGAACTGAAATTTTCATTTAATGACTGAAAAGCAACACAGCTACCTCTTAAGGGTGCCCAAAAGTGACACAATAAATGAAAAAAAATAAATAAGCACGACAGATTAAAATGACCAAATTACTATCTTTGTCATTAAGGTAAAATATCATTCTGACCTGCAAAGTTAGCTTGTTAACATACTAAGTCAACAGGCTATTGCTATGTTAACATGCTACTGCTAACATGCTTAAACTTTACATGTTAAATGTTAACACAAACTAATTAAAAAGGCGCTATACACTGTTTGTTTGGTTTGTCATGTTTCACTTGTGCAGAAATATGTAACACGATAAAAATAGCAAATTTAGGCTAGCGTGAGAACAAAGCTAGCAACAGGGATAGACCTTCAAACCCACGGAAAAAATGCGTGAACACAAAATGGGATGTTTTCCCATTCTGCCGACCGTGTGACTGCAGTATAAATCCATATAGCTGATGAAATAAACCTGAGGCTGACTCATATGCTTAAACTAATTAGGCCACTTCGAGGATTTAAGTGACTGCCTTCCCTGTGGTGCCACCATCAAGTCAAACTTCACATTTCCAGCATCTAACAATAGCAAAGTTGCAACACTTTTTCCCCTGCTTCATTTAATGGTCGCTAGACTTATTGTCTTGCTTTACCACCCGTTGTCAATCACCATCACTCTCTTTCTCTATCTCCAGGTGATCTGGGTGGTCACCTTCATCCTCACCTTGCTATTAAACCCTGACCTGGGACTGGCTGCTGCCATCGGTTTCTCCATGCTCACCGTCATCTTCAGGACACAGCTGTAGGAATACAGTGCCACACACACACCCAATTATACACTAATATACACACACACAGTGTGAAAATTAAGCCATCAATCACCACACCAAACAATGAATTCAGTCCTTCTCTTGCAGACCATATCCAAACACAAAGTATGACAAATTGTTCATACCGTTCTTTGTTTTGTGTGTATTCCAGACCTAAATACTCCATATTAGAGCAGGTCCCAGACACTGACATTTACAGGCCACTGGAGGACTACGAACAGGTATGGCACATTCAATTTATGTAACTTTAAATCGGGTACTGATCTAGAGATGAATGGAATAATAAATATAAACTATTGGATGGTTTGCTCTACATTTGGTACACCCATTCATGTCCCTCTCAAGATGAACTGTAATAACTTTGTGAACGTAACACGCTACACTAAGATGGTGAGCGCATTAAACATAATACCTGCTAAACATCAGTATGTTAGCACTGACATCGTGACCATGCCAGCATGCTGACGTTAGCATTTAGCTCAAAGCCTGTTTAATTGATGAACTCACTAACTGAGCGATTGGTTTCAGCTGAAGCAGGTGCCAGGGATTCTTATCTTCCGTTCCTCTGCCACCCTCTACTTCGCCAATGCTGAGATGTACCAAGAAGCACTCGGAGAGAAGGTGAGGACAAACACACACCCTTAACCTACCTTTAACCTTATCCGGCCCCTAAAACCAGGTCTTAATCCTTAACAGCTCTTTAAAGAAGTGCAGACTGATGAAATGTCCTCACACTAAAGGTCTAAAAGTAAAATGAGTCCTCACAAAGATCAGAAAACAAACACAAGTATATTAATTCACATTGATATATTAATGTGGACCCCCCAAGAAACAGTATCAGACATACAAACACCATAATGGAAACACAAGCCCCAATTTATATGAACATACAGATAAACACACCACAGCTACACACACACACACACACACAAAGAGAAAAAGAAACAACCACCTCCAGCAACAATCCTTTTTGTCACAATTTCCGTGCAATTAACTCCTCTCTTGCAAACATTATTTCTGACACACTAATAACTGACCCGCCATTTCACCAATTCACACATCACGACCGTGACAGACATTGTTCGAAATGTCATCCCACCATTTTCTCCTCTCCTTTCTTCCGCTAAACTTTTGTTTGAAAACACCCCCCCCCCCCCCCCCCGGTCCCTCCTCCTCCTCCTCTGTCACGTCTCTTTGGGGGAAATGGGAAGACAGATTGAGGGAAGGTAGGAAAAAAGATGACAAAAGATGGAGGGAGGGCGAGAGGCAGAGCTTGAATAAGGGAGGGAGATAATGGAGCGGCTCATTCATTAAAATGTCAGCATGTCAAAGCCATGGGTCGCTCCTTTCTTGCTTATCTTTGACGCACAAATGATCTTTCATAGAGCTGTTGTTGACTGGCAGAGGCTGCGTGTCTGTTTACAAGGTGAGAAATTGCCACCAGATGAATTATGGTAATTTTCCATCTGGATGATAAGAGCTTTTACTCGACCAGTCGCTGTGGCGTGCAGACAACTCAAATTTGGGGATCACTTTCCAAGAAATAGTGCAAGTTGCTGGGGAAATATGGGATCACTTACTGGCTGTCCTCACCGGTAGCGATTAAGCTGATGGGTTGGGTCAATTTTCTTTTGGAGAAGTAGGAAGACACGAATGGCTGTTATCGAATTCTGATCCACTTTGCAATTGCCAGGTAGACATTGTATTCATGGCATTAAAATCACAAAAACACTGCTGTCCAGAGCAGAAGACTTAGACTCTCAAAGATTTAAGTTTCTTGATAAACTTCTTTTTCTAGCAAGAAAATGCATAATATCTAATTGGATTCAAGAAAAACTCCCATCGGTAACACAATGGTATAAAGACATATTCAGAGTACTACACATGGAAAGACTTAGCGCCAAAATAAAAGGAAATGAAAACTGCTTCATAAATGTATGGAAGCCACTGATAAATCACTTACCCAATGATCTAAGTGACTTAATTCAACGACTGGAAAGCTCCAGAAGTCCTTCTACATTTCAATTCTTGAATGATTTCCATGTAAACAATAGTCCGGTAGGAACAGTGTGTACATGTGCATTAAATGTATCTTTAACGCACCCCTCTTATTTTATTTATTCTATTGTATTTCACTTGGTATTTTTTTAATTTATTTACTCACAGGTATGCCCATCTGTTAACTATTTTAGCAAGCGCAACCCTGTAACACAGTGATGCTGATGCTGAGTGATGCCCTTGGTATTTCCCAATGTGGAAACAGGTTTTCTCTTGTCATACAGGATATAGGTAAACAGCTCAAATTGCTCCCATAGCTGTGCCTACGGTGTAATAGCATCTGAATTGTAAGTCGCTTTGGATAAAAGCATCTGCTAAATGACTGTAATGTAATGTAATGTAATGTAGGTCCACAATTGTTCAAGTCTGTCTTAAAACAATACCCAGCTTCCCAAATGTACACTTAAACAGGTTTTACTTACTGTACTCCAGTTCACACATTAATAGAACCCTTGTGAAGAGTTTTCAATGCAGGCGATTGGGGACAAACTCCACAGCCCTCTCTTCATTGAGATTACAGTTGATATGAGGCTTCAGCTGTGGGAGTAAGACAAATCTAGTGGAAGTGTGCATCTTAAGTCACATCAAGATTGTTTTAAGACAGACTTGAAAAATTGTGAACCTATCCTTTAAATTCACATTGACTGATTTTACTCTGGCAGCTAACACGATATGCAGCTGTGCTATTGACTGAATTGTTCTTGGCCTGTTGTGCACACAGTGCAGTATTTTTGTTAGAGCTATACGTCGTTGTGATTGCATTTTTGTGGATGGGTCACAGTGTGGATTACATGCCAATTTAACCCAAAATATACAGAATAAGCCTGACCAAGTTTCCATGCCTAACAGCATTGTAAAAATGCCAATTTGTATTATTTGGTCTAAATTAGGATTTCAAACTATTAGAAATATTAATTATCAGCATTTAAGTTAAAAAAACAAATGGATTTGGGGCCTACAATTTTGTTTCATGCTTTAGGAAAACTTAGTCTGAAAAGGTTTGATTCACTCGTGTTCTTTAGTTGTGGAACACAGGAACACAAACTTTAATAGTTCATTTCATGTTAACTTTATAAAAACACCCTCAAGCGAACGAACCAAGCTTCCTGAGCAAGTAAGACTTTGTGTCTCATACAGACAAGCAAGACCTTCTACGCTGGTTTATGTTTTTTGTTTTTGTTTTGAGGAATTAGATCACTTGGACTGACTGAACTGGCTTAACTATTAAAGATAAACATTTGTGTTTCTGTAATGAGCTTTACCTCCCAATATTACTCATAGCATGATAACATTTGACATGTAATCCTCTTGCGGTAGGTCGGTTCACATTGTTTTTAATACACTTCGATACATATATTCTACTCATGTGTTCTAAAGAACTTGTGAAATATAAATTTGGAATAGTGTTTTCTGCTTAAGATAAAATAGAGTCATAAAAGAATAGAAGGAGTAATGTCAAGTGCATTGCAGTCAAAGTGGATTCCTCAGGAGGAAGCAAGATTTGACGTGAGCTTCACTATTACCATCTGTGGTTGTGTTCTTGTTTCTTTCAGTCTGGCATTGACATTACCAAACTCCTGTCAGCAAAGAAGAAACTAGAGGCCAAAAGGAAGAGGCACGAGAAGAAAAATGCCAAGGAAGCTGCCAAGAGGAACGCAGTGGACATGGTGAGGACGACCAGAGACATAGTCACTGTAAATGATGCAAAAGGAGTTTTTTTTAAACGTACAGACCACCAGCAGAGCTTGATTAGAATCGTCTTTTTATACAAAAGTATTTTTGTTAGTCAAACAGAAATATAAGAAAATAAATATTCAAACATTTCTGACCCTAAACCGTGACGTTCATTCCTGGTAGTGCGATTACCTTTGATTGCAGTTTATCGTCTAAAAGCGTAACATTTTAATGTCATGTCTCCTCCTGTACAGGAGGGGGGGCCAGAGAAGGAAGAGCAGAGGGAGATTGCCATCATTGAGATGGACGCTGAGCCCGACCCCTCACTCCCCAGAGCCATCATCCTCGACCTCAGCCCAGTCAACTTCCTGGATACTGTGGGAGTGAAGACGCTATGCAGCGTACGTATATGACATCACATTTACACCTGTACATACACATGTACAAAGAGAGGAGGGGACACATTCAATCAAAGTCAAAGTAACTTGCACACATTAGGAATTCTACCTCTTGTATATGTGCATTAGTACATGCAAGTTTGTTGTTCTACAAATCTAAATGTTGTGTATCTCAATATTTCGACAACATTAACAGGTTACGATAAAGAATTTCTACATTTTTGTCATCTAAATTTGGTATAAATTGTTCTTTTAGAGGAAAAAGCTGGCAGACAGTTCATTAGCTATTAATGAAACCAATCCCCAGAATTAGATTTAAATAGATGGCCTTAGGAGAATAAGATTAAATACAAGATTATTGATTCTGATCCTTTTATTTTTGTTGTCTACATTTCTTCTTGTTTAACTTTGCCTTTCTCATCTCTTGGTGCAACAACTAGAGCTTTCCTCCATACATCTATCACTTTTGTTGTCATTTAGCTCCTCTGACATTCAATTTCTGTAAATTGAATTGTCGGACTAATGAAATGATCCCCGTCTGACCTTTGCTCGGTGCTTCTGTGTTCTGTTTCAGATCCAGAGGGACTATGGGGAAATTTGTATAGAGGTGGTTCTCGCTGGCTGCTTGAGTAAGTCCCTCTACATCACTAATTCAATAGATTTTTATTTTTTTTAATGAAATTAATAAGAAAAGTTGAAAATCTCTTGGAGGCCAATGCCAGAGCGGCTATGCTACTGTTTACAGCTGTCCGTATGACTGGCGAGGTGTAGTTTGTACAGAAAGTGCTTAAAACATTCAATTTTGGTTGTTGTAAAGTTTGTAAAACTTTATTCTGAGTGACAATGAAACAATTTTAAATATAACTTGCGTTAAGCAGTAGGAAACGTTGAGATCTTCTGTGGTAGACTGACAGTTTGTCAGAAAAATAACAAAATGTTTTCCAGAAAACACTATTCCAGGTTTGCTGTCTGGTATGATGTGCAATATTGGGTCATGAGAAGAATATAGTGAGTCCTAAGGAAAGCTAAAAGAGAAAATACTGATATCTGGCAGGGAGGGTCTTGTTTTTACTGTAATAAAGCTCCTTCTCTTTTTGGTTATTATTACATAGAAGCCCACACATTTATCTCACATCCACCGTGCTAAGAGGCGTCAAGTTTATTTCAGAGGATCAGCAGCTCTTATTAGGCTGTACTAAGTCGATAGGCAAAGGAAACTGCAAAGAATATGTACACAGCCGGGAATTATAACACGGTTTAATTAACACAAGGACTACCACTCGACCTTCTCTCTCTCTTTCTAGCTGGTGTGGTGGACAACCTGCAGACTGGAGGTTTCTTTAGCGAAAAAGTGACAAAGTCCTGTCTCTTCTCCACCGTCCATGACGCTGTTCTGCACTGTCAGTCTGCCAGAACACACAGCCAAGATAAGGTGATGTACTGTGAGCATACACACATGCCCTCAAACAGACACGTCATCACACACCACGACACAGAGTACTGAAGTGTGCCAGTTTCAGGCATTATCCAATAGTAAATGAGGCGGGTGTATTACATTTGACAGAATTTTAGGGCCGTTTCACACCTGAAAGCCTGAACTTGGTCTAAACCGAGGGTCTCGTTTTTTGTTACATTGTGTACATTTGATGCGGTTAGTTTGGGTTTCACATTGCATAGCGTCACACCAGGGATATTTTTACTTGTCATTTTTGGTTTGGAACAAACTGAAAAGTTAGAGATTCCAGACCAAACAAGGTAGGTGTGAAAGGACCCTTGAACTCAGTTATTTTTGTTTTTCTTACTGCTGTGCTCCTTGAAACTCATAGTTGACTTTAATTGTTAAAACCACTCTTAAAACTGCATTCATTAAATTTTATCCTCTGTGGGCAGCGTAACAAGATGGACACACAACGCTGACGTGATATCATCTTACTCAGTTGATATGACAGTTGCCTTTATACATATTGGGTCTGTTGTTCATATAGAGGTGCAATGAATGCTGTTTGGTGCTAGACAGGAAGCGTCCAGTTGGTTTTTTTAGAGCTTTTTCAATGAAAACCGCTGCCTGCTGAAGAAAGGAGAGCAGTAAAACTGATGCAAAACAGTAAAGCAAGGGTCGGCAAGTAAGTTTGGCCTGTGGACAATTTTTTCCTCAGCCATTAGATGTTACGCCAGAACATAATCAATGACTAATTTAAGAAAATTAGAGATTAAAAAAATGTAACTGGAATTTGCGCTGCATTCAGGGACCCAACAGTAGTTATAATCTGGTGTCTTTATTCACACACTTGGGTGCAATAGTCCTCCTCTTCCCCTCTCTCTGTCTCTCTTATACACACACACACACACACACACACACACACACACACAAACCAGTGCCGCGGTGCTCCTGGTCTCTGTAACTGTCTCAGTCTTCAGTCCAAAAGTAATTTATTGAAAGAAGATAAATGTCATCATTTACGAAACAAAATATTCTGCTTCAATCTATTTGTTGGCGCTGAGCCTTTCAAAAACAACATTTGCACAGTTGTCAAAAAAAAATGTCATAAAATATGACGACAAAAATTTGTATAGAATAGGTTTAAATTTAAGTTGTCTCTGCAACATACAGTATCTTATGGGTCACACAATATTAGGCTATTTAATATGCTGTTAATGCATTTATTTATTTTATTGTCATTTGATCTATTATAGTAATATACAAATATTGATCAGAGCAGCTTAGAGTATTTATGTTCACAGTCGTGATCATTCAATTGTTTGAGGTGCTTAATGTAATAATGATTCAGCCAGGCTTCAATTCATCACGTTCATAAACATCACATTTCTAATTATTCCGCCTCATCACTGATAAGAACCTGGTAAAAAGGTCAACTTCACTCAGCAGCCTGGAGTGTGGGAATGTGTTCAGCTCTTAATATCTTAATGGGCAATGATTAAAATGTTCATTCTGGATTGGTTCATTGATCCTTACTCTGCAGCGTGACCTGGACTGCAAATTGATTGCACAGTGAGATGTTTGGGGGTCGGGTGGAAATGGAATTACAGAATTACAGTAAAGTACAAAATGATATTATATTTTGATGTGTTTTAATGCGTTTTGATACAAATCCCTCGTGATTTTTTTCCTAAACAGTTAGACACAAATACCTAAACAGCGTTTTTGTTTTCTTATATGCATCAGAAATACTGCAGATTCCAGCACACACCCTCAATCTCCTTAACACATGGGTGGGCGATGTGTGTGTATGTGTGTCTTAATCTCATTTATACACCTGTGCTTGCATGGATGTCTGCATATTGTTTTGCGCGTGTGGTTTTGTTTCTGCCTGTTGTTTCAGTGTTTAGTTGGGTGTGTGACTTTATGTTTCTGCCTCCATAAGACAAATCTAACAGAGAACAAAGACGTGGCACTGATCCATGAAATACAGTTTACAGGAGCTACCGCTCTTCATGGGAGAGTTAGGGAGCGCACACACACACACACACACACACAGTCACTGGCACACACACAAAGGGATACAAAAATACTGAGGATGTAAGCGAGTGGATGTAAGATGAGCATGATGTTGGTTTAAGAGAGCTGTGCAAAAAACAAGAACACACAGTAACATGCATGCAAATTAATGAATACGTGCACATGCATATGCAGCCCGAATGTATGAATGTATTTCACAAGGACTTGGTTTGTACATGAGGTAAGCAAGCGGTTAGTTTGGAAATCCATCTGGCCCATAGTTTATCTCCAGCTCACTGAATTCCACAGAAGCATTTCAGCATATCAGCAAGCAAGTAGAGCCTTACATTCGCCCCCGAGGCCCATCAGAACTACAATATATAACATTCAACAGAATGGAGTGAATGCAAGAATCCACACGGTGCAAAGTGAAGACGTCCGATTGAAAATAGTTTGACTGGGAACCATTATTTCTGAGATTGCGGCGTGCTGAGCCAAAGTTTGAGGCGGCGTGTTTACATTCCCGTTCTGTTCCTCCTCATTAACCGCCGCTGGAGAGAGAAAGGAAAAATCTGGAACATGTTTTGAAAATCTTCCCTCCACCGTCCCACTTGGTGTCTCTCTTCTTCTCACTGTTCTGTTTTGATCTCATTTTTTGTACTTCTGTTTCACAGGTGATCACAGCGACACATTTGTGAGTCCCGAGAACAGTGGCGGAGGATATTATGAAGAAGTGCTAGACACTTGTCTGTATGAGTGTATCCTGTGAGCTTCGGATTTCTGGGACTGCCTGTGTCACGATCGCAGACACTCAAACCTGCAGACACACGCTCTTTGTAGCACATATAATACAAGAAGACTAAATAAACAGGATGCATGTAAATGAGAACAGAGTACACACCCGGAGTCATACAATGATATGCCTCGCTGGAGGAGTGCACAGATCAAAGCCATGGAAAAATGACACAAACCATACGCATGTGCAGTTAAAGCACATTAATACAGACTTGTATTCTTCTGCAATGTATTTTCAATAAAAATTGAAGTTATTAGATTGCCTTTAATCAGTAAAAAACACATAATCAATACTATGGTTGGTTTATTTATGAAAATCTAAAAATCTGCCAATGTGAATGTACTAAGAAAGGAAAATAAATATTATTTTACTGAGTCAAAAGCGTCTCATTGAATGGGAATGTTCATTTCCTCTCCAAACACAGACAGTGTTGATTTGAATATTCCAAATGAAGACATTTTGATTTGGTGACGCAACGACAGGAAATCTCAAAATACCTCTGAAAAGATCTGGACTGATGACACTGATGCCTCAAAAATAGATGCAGGGTGATCTCCTTTCCTGTCTCGCTGGGACCGGCTGCTTCCTTCAGACTCCAGGCTACACCTTGTTTATCTACGGACTTGTTCAGGGAGTTTGTTTATACTGTACAAGGAGTTGTTCTGAGACATTTTCAAGTTCTTCTGCCAGATGTTGCAGATGCTCAGTAAAGTAGCTCAAGCACAGAGAATAGCAGTAAGGGCAGTGGAAACTAACCCTAACCATTACCACCCCAGATGTTGGCATATTATAGCGTAGATGCAATCATTTTTTCAGCTGTCTAGAACCTGAGTCTCTCATGAAACTGCACATTTACAGATACAACTCACCATGTTTTGATCAGGAAGTTTAAAGTCACGCAAGACAAAGGGAACTAAAATGTAACTTTCATGTTCACTGTTTGCTTCATTTTTTTCTGTAAGCAGTGAAGAGATTATTTCCACCACATCAGTCCTCTGTCAACTAAACGCAGGTTCGATGACTCATTGCTTATTGGAACAGGAACACTGTGAATCATATATAGTCGTAATAAAACATCCATTTCACAGTAATGGCTATTATTTTAAATGCCTTGCCTTGTCTGCCAGGGATTGACTTACTTAGTCCAAAAAGTGAGACAAAAAGAAAAATATGATTAAACTTAAAGCTGCACGAATATGTTTATAATCATAACATATTGCATATCAAATGACAAACCCACAGAGAATTATAACCAGCTCTGCAGTTCCCCTCGGCTCTAAGGTGCATTTTAGAGTCTTTGGATCATTAGCCTACTTTACTGTTTCAGTTCATTGCTCTGATCAGCCTCATTCACAGCTGTGATCGACTGTAGAAGCTCTGATGGACCAGAGCTCAACGGAGTTAAGAGAGTGAATATTGGACATTTGTCAGGTGGCCAGAGGCACGACCCCAGGTGAGTGCTAATGTCGCTCTGTGTTTGTTGGATGCGCTAATAGGCAACTGTTCGCCAACAAGCTTGCTTCAACTTAAAAGTGCCTTGTGGAGTTTTCTTGTGAACAAACAGACGTTGTGTTTACATTCAGTGTTAATCACCAAAAAAATATTGTGTTTAGTTCTTACAGACTTGTTTAAAAAAAAAAAAAAAAAACTCCATAAAAAATGTATTTACATCAATGTTGACTGGCTTGCAATATTTGTGTAACATCCCGTTAGTTTCATCGTGTCTCTGTGTGTGTGTGTGTTCCCCCTGATTGCACTCATCCTACTCACCTGCCAGGTCCACCCAGCTGCTGCCAATCTTCTCATCACACCACTCATATCCCCTGCTTTCCCTGCTTTCCCCGCTCCAGTTGTCAGATCGTCATTGTTCTTCCCCGTGTGCGCCTCGTGTTGATTCAATGATTTATGTCTTTGCCTTTTTGTTGGTTCTTGGCTCGCTCCCGGTTGGAGTCGCTTTAAGTTTTTGTTTATTACTTATTTCCAACTTCATCTCTTCTCCAGTGTCGGTCTCTGCTCAGCCCTGAACCGTGACAATTCGTCTTATTCCCTAACGTTATATGGTCATAAAAAGGCAATGTTATGTTACGCTTGTTCCGTTATGGAAGATGCTATAAGTACCCAGGTGTCAGAAGCCAACCATGCTATTTGCACCCGGGCAGAATAGCCAGTGAGGCTATTTACACTGAGGTGTACATAGCATAGCAGAGACAAGCACACAGGTGTCTGTAGCCAACAATTTGCACCCGACCTTGGTGCACATTAGACACTATATCTGTAGGCAGTGTATATTTTCCCTCTACCTAACAAGTAGTTTTTCCAGTTCACAAAACCAACATATTAATCATTGTATGGGTGGTTTGTAATAGAGTTCATTCCTATGAAAGTTGCTCAGTGGTACATGAAGCAAAACAATGTTTGATTTCCGTGTATAAAATTCAGAAAAGTCATCTTTTGCATTCATGGGCCCATATAGCAAGCGCACTAGTGTTTCCTTTAACCCAAAGTTCCAGCCCTTGCTCCAGCCTCCTTCTAATGATGTTTCGTACTGAGAAGTTGATTTACTTCAAAAAAAAAAAGACCCACTAAGTTATACGCCTCTCTCCCAATGCAGGTCTATGGGCCCAATGGCATCATGTGACGGACACGTAAGTTGTAATTCCACTGTTTGGCCACTATGTATCATTTGCTTCATAGGCTTGGAGTCCTAAAACCCAGAAATGAGTTGCCATTTTTTCACTTCAGGTTCTCTCATCTCAAAGTCAGTGGCTTTTTTGTGAATTGGTTGCTAACAATAAGTGGCTAAATTATACTAATAAACATAACACCTCTGCCTGTAGCTTAGTTGCGGTGAGGTGATGTCATGTGACCATGTTGTAGTTTGTTTATAGCTCAACGTTAGCTTTTTACTTCTGGCAAATGGATTTAAGCTTCAAAAATCATGAAATTGATCTTTAAAATCCCTCTTTAAAAAAGCATCACTCTATGGCAAACAATGTCCACCAAATACCAAGTTGGACCACATCGTTTTGGAAGACAATGAAAAAACGACCTTTCTTTTCTCTCATCAGGTGGAAGCTTGACAATCAGCTAAATAAAGACAGATCTTAACACATGAATATCAGTGGCTCTGGTACGTTCAAAATGTGAACCATGCGGACTTAACTATGGCGAGTTGTTTTTTTAAAATTAGGCTAAACAGAAAGGGCGAGAGGAAGAGCTGTATCTCCGCCTCTGGGGAAAGTGCGTGTGTGTGTGTGTGTGTGTGTGTGTGAGAGAGAGAGAGACGTGTGTGTGTGTGTGAATACTTATTTAGTGTCAACCCAAACGTCGCTGACTGCATTCTTCTCTTGGCGGGTGGCGCGAGCGGAGTATCAGAGAGAGAGAGAGAGAGAGAGAGAGAGAGAGCCTGCTGGGAGAGAGAAAAGAGAGTCCGAGAAGAAGCTGAAACTTCACTGCAGACGCTCCTGCTCAGGTTGGTTCCATCTCTATGATATTCTTTTAACACTACTGTGATATTTCTGCATGGGGATTTAACAGTGCGTCTGCGGGACTCGGTTTTGACCTTATTATGGACACTCCAGTGCATTCATCTCCAGCATCACCATAATCCTTTACGCTTTGCTTTAAAATAATGCAACTTCTTAGTTTTGCCCTGATGTTCGCACATGCTGCATCTTCTCTCCCCACTCGTCTTTTTTTAAAATAAAACCCGCAGACCATATTTGCGTTAAAGCGCGTGTATATTCCACTAGCCCACTATTGGCGCACTGACATCGATATCAAACCAGATGAATCGATTCTGTGCAAGGCTATAATGTTTATTACAGACACTTGCATGACAAACGCTTGCTTTTCCTGGGAGCATGCAGGGGATTTGATCACCCTGCTGACCAGTAGTTGCAGTCTTTCCCATGTGCATGAATGTGGAATTGGATGATTGCAGCAGAGATGAAAACAATAGGGGGGGTTTGCGCACACGTTATGAGAGCAGTTACAAATAATGATCTGGTCACGCGTATAGTTATGTTTAGTGTGAACGTTTATTTCCACGCGTGATGCACACTTCTCGTGTGTCTTGTTGTGATCCTGTCAAAGGCAGGTGAAATGATTTACCCACGCCGAAATGCAGAAATGTTGCCTGTTATTGAGGATAAAAAAAATAATACGCATGGATGAAATCATTCTATATTGCTCAGCAACAGGCAGCCACATTGTTCACTCGTGTTTTTATTACACAATTGTTACTGGCTTCAGGTTGTCAGGTCACTAAACCTGAAAGACGACACCCGATCACCTCAGGAAATGGCTTCACACACACCAGGGCTATTTGTTACCTTCGGCGGTGTACCGGGCAGTATGCCCTCTTCATTGTAATGGTGACACATGCCATTAACATGACGTGGATCCAGTATATCCAGCTGGACCTGAAGCCAGGGAAGCCGCGTGTGTGTGTGTGTGTGTGTGTGTGTGCGCCACAGACAGGGAGAGGGGGAGTGTGCTTCACGTGTGTGTGATTGTGTGTGCAGCTTTTCATGGACTGAAGGTAGAAACACTTTAATTTTCAGTTTAAAAATATTGATTTGGTGATGTTAATAAATCTAAATCTAAAAATGATTTAATTCAAATCTGCCTTCTGTTTTTTTTTATTGTGTGTCCCCCTATCCCCCTAAATAAGTCACCTGTTAAATCTTTCATCTGATGTTAATGTCTCATATTATTATTTTCTTTTTCTTTCTATCCTTACAGTATGGTAATGCAGTTGTTGTTGTAGTATGTGCAAACCAGTTGTTGCTTTGTACACATTGGTTACAACATTTGGCAACACTGCACTTTTAAGTGCATTACTACACTGATGGTCAGAGAGAGAGAGAGAGAGAGAGAGAGAGAGAGAGAGAGAGAGAGAGAGA